TTTATATATATATTTTTTTTAAAGAACCTTTGCATTGTTTCTATAAAGATGTTAAAATTACCAGAGATTAAGAAACTTCAAACACTATAGTAAGCTTCTTGAATTCACTTCTAAAGTCTTCCACTTCGAATTTATAGATAAAAATATTTACCAGATGGTACCATCACCGGTTCTGACTCCATATCGTCTCCTTCGATCGTGTTCCGTTCTATGGCATTTGATTCTTTTTCACGTATTACGCGTTGGTTCTTGCTCGACGGCATAAATTTCGAGCTTGTTCGCCAACGTATCGCCAAATCGCGCATTTTTTCCTAGATCTGAGCATTCGTTGACGATAAGTATGGAAAATCGGATCGTTCGAGAATCGAACACTTGGAAAAATTTCTCTCCACTTTGTGTGAGAATCTTGAGCTAAATTTTTCCACGAATACGTCTCTCTTTGCTGTTTTGTTCATATAAATACCGTCTGCTCTTCGATCGTGGGCTTCCTATCCGATCTTCCGTTTTTATCTTAGAGAAACTGTGATCCGGCTTCGTCGCTCGCTACTATGACTCGTGGTCTCCGCAAAGTGTCGATGATTCACTGACATATGTAATATGTACATAAGCCAATCGTTTGTTTTTGATTATACGATTCATTGATATTTCGGAATCGATCGACTTCTTCGAAGTGAAGGTGCAGATAACGAGACATGTTCTCCTCGACAAATTCTTCAGTCTTCAGATTGATTTAATTCTACATAGCATACGTGCAATTGAACTAGGTTTTTATCTATTATATTATTTCTATTTTTTCTATATTTTCTATTATATTATTATTATATTGTCTATCACATTTTATCTGCTATATTTCGTTCAATCATAGATGCGTTACATATTCGTGTTCACGTAACGTTAGTGGTACAACTGGGCAGGAAGTGTTATCTGATGAAGAAATAAATCTAGAAGAAAGAATACATTTTTTAATACAAAACTAATTTTCATTCGAAAATTTATCAAATATAAATATAAATATAAATTTAGGATCTTTATATCCGTTCGTGTTTTGTATTTATAAACACGAGTAATTTGCTTCTTGCAATTATGTTCATTGATATATCGATAAACACGATGCTTAAGATGTTTTTAACTAAATTATCGTGCACTACTTGTGTTATAAATGTTTGTATCTTTTAATTCTTCATGATACAATGTAACGTTCGCTTCTAATTTCTCAACACTTTTGTTATTTTTGGAATACAGCTTTCATTTAACAATTATAGCATTGACAGCAATTGCTCACGTTTATAAGCACATTTACGAGCAGAAACTAAAACTTGACTATCAGATGCTTATATATTATATAAATTAAAAAAAAGTTTTTCTTCTTTTTCTATTTACTTTTTTTATGGTACCGCCCCCTGTCCGTCTATAACATTAATAACGGAACACCCCGTATATACGCATATCTCTTCAATATATTTCCCTCAGCCTTCCTTCATTTCAGCTTTCATTTTATATTTACCATTTTATATTTGGATTATCCTACTATTCGAGATCGCAACTCAAATTATTTTCGTCGTACTTCGATCGTCCGAAAATACTCTCATACAGAGAAGTAGCATGTAAGTAATCGCTGTTGAAATCGGTGTGACTCGCACATCGGTCGATTCATATGTTTCCTTGGAATGAGCCACGTGCGTCATCGGGACTCGCCGATTTCTCCGGTGAATCCTTGCAGCACCGCTGACCCTGTATCGTCAGTTTCGAATGAGAAACCGAATGAAAAGGGTTACTCACTGGTTATTTTCCCGGATCTTAGTATAGTACAATACGGTCAACTGAACGAACATTCGAGTATTGCTTAACACCGGTTCGCAAAAGTGTCGAGACGACTGCCAGTTTCGAGAAATTTATTCCTCGGCTATAAGCTGCGAATAACAGAAAATACAGTGAAAAAGGACGTCCCGTTTTATCTGTGAATTTGTAAATAGCATTGTCCGATGTGCATTAAAATTATAACAAACTGTTAAATGTTCTATTGGATATTAGTAGTCATTTTTATCCACATGTGTATGTAACTGTGAGAATAGCTATCAAAGTGTTGTTTATTAAAATGCATCAAAAATGTATCGTTTTGTTGGGTGTCTCTTTTATAAGATTTTGACATATATTGCACAACGTGAAATTTCTTAAGCTGACGTAAGTAAAATTGAAGGTACTGGAAAATTTTGTATTTTGCACTATCTCGTAGAATATACTCATACAATAATAGCCATATTATTAGCTCTGTACATAGCGATAATTTCACTGTTAAATCCGTCTCGCCTTTCAAACCTCGATGTGCAAATTGTAACGCGTTAAAGAAAGGAGCAAAGCACAAAACTGCGATTCTTTTTACAAACAGCTATCGTTTGTACACGTATAATCGGGCGATACAGAAGTGAATAGAAACGATTGCTGAAAACGTAAATCAACGCAGGTAACCGAATGAACGAACGACCTAAGTTATAAATTCAAGTTTCAATCCTTTTCAAAACTATCTTCCTCGAAAAAGTAAAAGACAAAAAGTACAAAAGTTTCAAAAATGCGATACTCACGTACTCTACAGGATCGCGAAAATTATACGACAGACGAGACGCGAAGAAATTGACATTCATTCCGTTCCTCAGAATTATTACGTCACTATTGCGTGACAGATATTTCTATGAAAACTCACCGGTGCAATATATGACATAACGATTAACTAATCGACACTTTGCGTACGATGAAACGTTTCTAACGAACTCTTTTCCACCGAGCATTTAATACGCGAACCTCTTTTACTGATACCGATTTATTACCGAACCGTTTCCTCTGATAAGAATACACGGGATGTTCGGTATAGATTCGCCGATGTATTTCCCAGGCTGTATCGTCACGTTCCAGACGAACACTGTCTTCTCCTGTGAATGGAGCTGATGCTGAAGGTCCGATTGGCGGAGTACGGATTCCCGGAACCAAGAAGGAGACCGGTCGGTTTCGGGGCGTACATCGCCAACCGCTGAATCACGTTCAATCGGCCATCTTTACCTATTTTTTCTTCCTTTTCTCCTTCTTGTCTCAAGAAGCCTGCGATCAGGCAAGCCAGCCTGACCAGATGCGATGTAACCTTTCGAATGTGCCACCTAAGGCATTTTTTCCCATTATGATGGAGTTCCTGCTGCGGTTTCGCGACTCTATTTGCCCCATAATGGAGTGGAGTTGGATTTATCGTAAACCTTTCAGTGCTAACGAGCAAATTGTTGGGTAGAGGGAACATCTGCTTGGTTGAAAAGAGGAAGAGAGAAACTTGGTTGTCTCATTGTTTATCCTTTTTTATTTGCAAGGATTCTGGAGATATGAATATTTTGTCAACGAAAAGCGAGAAATATATTTTTGGTAAAACTTCATCTCTGTCGTTAATTTCTGTTGTTGCAATTTTTAATAAATGTATAGGTATTTTCGTATAATATTTTAAGTATAATCTATGTAGCATCTTTTGATGTATCCTCATACACGCGTATGTATGTTTGTGTATATAGATGTTATATGCTTAAGAATGTAGTCAGCCAGATGTAACAAGATCGTAACCTTCTGGTAAATTTAATCACACCGTATATGTCTCAGTTTTTGTCCATGTGATTACTAATTTTCTTGGAAGAAGAAGCCATCGTATTTTACTTATTCATCAACGGACGTATACTTTCGATTTCTATCTTCAGAACAGTTCTATTTTTATATCTTCCATTACTCTAATATCATAATTTTTCCATTAGCTGACTTCTTACTCCATTAATTTTTTTTTCGTGGCACAATTTCTATTTTTGACGTCGAAATAAATATTTTTTAAGTTCCAACGTAAAAGCAATTGAATTTTTATGATTTAAGAAAGTATATACCTCAGTGAAATTGTGTTTTTAATAACTTTTAATGCGTTTCTGAAATAATATCAGCACGATACTAATAAAATAAGATTGGTATCATTATGAAATTTCTGAAAATAAGTAAAATTTATTAAACTGTCGTTAAGTTGATAAAAATATGTTCAATTGTTCTTTAAAATTCATTTTCTCGAAACATTGATAAAATAATCAGGACAAATGCGGACATATGCGATAAATAAAACATAAAAATTTCAAATTTGAGGATTAAATATACTTACATTACTTATATTGTACTTATATTACTTAGTTTGAAGGCTTTAGAGCTTACCATTTTTGCAATTTGTCATTAAAGCGAAAAGTTTTCTTTCTGCGATATTTAATTTATAACGATATCTATTAACTGTAATCAACTTGTACCCGAAAGCTTCGAGCTTGATAACTATGAAAGGGAGGATACCTGGGATTAGAGTCTATTAGTCCGGTCCCTTGAGTAATCATTTTATTATAGCAAATCCTAGTAATTGATGTCATTTCTCAAAGGATATTTGAAAAACAGTATCGGAAGATAACACAAGAAATACTTATAATTTGCAATTCATTTTAGAATTTAAGTTTTTTTTTTGCAACTTTGTATATCTTGATTAATGTGTATTCATTGGTGGTATAAAGTATATAGTTTCATAGAAATTAAGTGAAAGAAGGTATAAGATTTTTGTAATCATTTTTAACATTCTTAAACTTAAATAATTTTATAAGGTTTGGCTATGATATATTTTTCTATTATAAATGTATATATGTATATTATTATTTTATAAATATATCTATATATATATATATATATAGTATTTCGAATTATTTATCAAATATATAATTTAATTTATTATTTAATATAAACGTTATATAATTATTTAGAAAATATGTAATAATTAAAACAGTTCATAATTTGTTTGTATTATTTAATGAAATATATGATAAATAAAGTATATATTTAATTTAAGATTTTAAGGTAACTTTCTATTAAAATAGAGAATCGTCAACATAATTATTTAAATGAAGTATGTGCTGTTTAAATCGAGGAAAGTTATCGATATATATGTAGATAAACACTTGACAAACGTAAAAAATAAAAATATATTATACATTTAAAAAATTGTAGGTTATTTATTTTTTAACAAAGTACACTAGAAAGCATTATTACCTTATTATCATTTTCAAATAAGTAATTCATTTGAACAACTGTATGAAACTGTAGGCTACAAAGAACTCGAAATCAGCTGTGAACTGTCAAAGTTTTATATAATTATAGGTTTGTTGACATTTATAATTTATTTGATTTGAAAATATTGCAGTAAAAGATCTAGTTATATGATTTTATTTTTGTTTGTTTACACAAAAGAGATTAATAAATTTTACTATAAAGGAGCATGACGTACGTAAAAGTAAGGTTAGAAATTATTTATAAATAAACTTTTCTTGTAAATACAGAGAAAAGGTGATGCACAATGTCTCCTGACCCCACTCAAGAACCTATTGAAGAATCATTAAATATACCAAATTTATCTATTGATACTAGAGGATTAAATGCATCAGATAGCGAAGATGAAGACATAGGAATGGCCGGATATGTGCCATTATCTCAAATTCCTGCAGATAGTGATCCAATATTATATGAAGATGATGTATGTACATTATTTGATAATATTTTAATTATATATAATAAATGTTTATATCATATAATTCCTCAATTTCTTAGGATGATGAATGGATAATTAATGCAGGTGAATCTAGCCAAGCATTACGAGCTCCATTGATAGAATCACATGTATGTATGTTTTTTATTTAAAACAATGTTATTATATTTATTTTTTAATGTGTTCAATGATATTTTATTTCTTTAATAGGATTGTATACCAGAAACAGTAGAAGTTTGGTCAACTTCTTATAATAGATCAAATATAGATATGGATGCTGATAAAATCAATCAAGTAAAATCTATGATGGCATCTTTCACTTTACCAATCTCAGCGATTCCAGAGTGGGCAAAAGCTATATCAGAAGAACAATGGAAGGAGCAACTTATTGGACGTATTAAAGAAATGCAAAATAATTGAGAAAAATAAATTTAAGTATTTTAATTAATTCTTTTATATAAATTTATGTATGTAGTTTGATATAAATTAGATACATAATTTCTTTTTTTATGTTTAAGCTATACTTTTAAAATCTATTAGAAGTGAAATTTCAAACAAAAGAAATTTAGTATATACATTTAATTGTATACAGTAGAAAATTTAACATAATGTAAAGTATAACAAATAAAAGTATTTATTTTGCAGTAATTAAATTTTGATTTAATTAATTACTGTGATTTTCCAAAATGTGTACATATATCTTTTTCTTATGGGAATTTTTTATAGAACTTTTCTTTTGTGTATTATTATTTTTAGCACTAATTTTATATAAGCACTAAATTTTTATTTGTTTGTGATAAATGATTACATGAATATATGATATGATACTGTTGAACATATGAAATCATACTTCTGTCCATTCATACATTGCAGAGAACACACTTGCATCATTGATAAAGGTACACTTATAGTTCGAGATCTGCACTAATAGCGGCAGCTTTTGTTGGATTTAGTTTCATTCGTAACGTGGCAACATCATCCTCTATTCTTATCAATTTTCGGAATTTCTGGAAAAATGTTAATCTTGTGAAGTTGATAAATGAAAAATACAGAATTTTAAAGGCAAAAAATTGATTTTAGTTATACCTCAGAGATAGTTCCAGATGTTTTAAACCAGATATAAATCATATATCCAGGAATACATAACATTGAAGAAAGTGCACAAAGCCATCCAAATGCATGACTCCACCATGGATAGTCATATGTAAGATATTTTACGGGAACGAATTTAATTATGTTAAAAGTAAAAACACCCTGATATGAAAATATATTTTGTTTAACTGGCATTAAAAACGTAATATAATAATTATAAATTTTGCAATAAACATTTTTACTTTACCACACAAATGGCAGGAGTAGTAATGGTCCAACATATCTTCCACCAACAACATGGATAATAACCAATCATATCACGAATTCCATCATAGAATCGATTTACACCAAATGCCCACGAAACAGCAATACATTCAAAGAACATTAAGAATAGAAGACAAAATCCACTTACAGCATACGTATCTAGGAGTTGAAACACATACATTCCTCCCTGCAAATATTATAAAGATATTTTTTACATAATTTATTTATATGAAAGGTTAAAATCTTTTCATTTTTTGTCAGCTGCTTACTTCAGTAACGCAAGAAAGACCAATAAGATACGAGACAAAGCATACAATAGCGATGAATATTTCTTTTCGTTTTCTAAGAAGTGACGGCCATTCATCTACCGCGGCTGTTATAAATCCTTCAACTGTACAAAACTATAAAACATAATAATCGATCATTTTCATTTTCGTCTTACTGAAATGTTTTAAATTACCTGACTATCTAAGCCAATAAGAATAAGCATGAAAAAGAATAAACAAGACCAAATCGATGATCCTGGTAATTCTAGAACGGCGGAAGGATAAACCAAGAAAGCTAAACCTGGACCTAGTTAAAACATTTACAAGAACAAAATATTAACAAAAATCAAATGTTATAAATATAAAGTAGTAGCTATGATTTAATATCGATCATAATTACCAGAGGCTGCTACGTCCGCAACAGATTTTTGTTGTTCATGAGCCATAAAACCAACCACAGAAAATATAACAATACCACTAATCATACTGGTACAAGAATTTACTGTACAAACAATAAGAGCATCCCTAAAATAAATATAAATTTATAAATTATACATGGAAAGCTAATAAGAATAACAAATTTATAACGAATATTAAATCAATTAAATTAAATATAATTAAATTATTTGAAAAATATGCTGTATTTAAATAAAACACGTACTCACTTGTAAACATTATTATTGAATTTATTGTAACTTCCAAGAGCAGCCAATGCGCCTACACCCAGTGCGTAAGAAAAAAATATTTGTGTTACCGCATCTATCCAGACCTATAAGCATTTATTAAATTTTAGTCCATCAGGTAGACAGAATTTAGAGAACAAAAGTAGCAATATTCTAATACTTCGGGTTCACTGAGTTTTGATAGATTTGGTGTTACATAATATTTTAGACCCTCCATTGCTCCTGGCAGCGTCAATCCTCTTACCAATAAAACCGACAACAATGCATATGGAAACAACGACGTAAAGTACACAACCTGTAAAAAAAAATTAACATCGATAAGAAATTAATTTTATTCGTACATTACGATTAATTATGGAATCTTACTTTTCCAGTCCATTTCACACCTTTCCAAATACAAAAATAACACATGATCCACGCAATAGCTAATGTACCTGCTAATTCCCATCTAATTGAACCTACATTTTCTATACCGTCAGAGATTTGAAGAGTACGCCCCCTTTTTAAAATAAAAAGATGCATCAATTTACGGTTGTAAAACGGAAACCACAACAGCATTTCTTGTATCATACAAACTCACTCCCAAAATTCTTTTACTGGATCCCTCAGTAAAGTGTGACTTAAATTACCGATCGAAGTAGAACATATCGTATCCTGGTCTTCGGGCCAACACAACATCTCTAAACGTTCTGTGGGGGTGAGACAATAACGCGAATTCCAATGATTACCGCATGTTCTCCATGGCACATCTATATATATATACACATACATACGTATGATTAATTTATATTAAACGAATTTTATATAATGCGTAATTTTATTAATATTACGTATATTATTTTCCCACCGATTCGTAAGGAGACCAAAAAGTAAAAAAGTGCCCATGCCAATATAATAATGTAGTATATGTTTGTCCAACAGGAGAGTACACAAGCAGCGTATCCAATGCCTGGTTGTAAAAAAAAGTTTAAAGATGGAATAGCAATTAAATATTTTACAGAAGTAATTATATACATATATAAACCTTTGAAAATCGGAGCTATCTTAAAAACACCTAATCCACCTATAGTCATCATCTGTCCTAGCGATAACTCCATTAGGAACATAGGTACTCCGGCAAGTGCAAGAGCGATAAAATAAGGAACCATAAAAGCACCACCGCCATTTTTGTAGCAGAGGTACGGAAATCGCCATAAATTTCCTAATCCTATTGCCAATCCTACTACAGAGAGGATGAATTCGATCTTAAAACAGACGGAAACAATTCGTCATTCAATATGCATACGCGTATCTCCAGTTGTTTTCGTTACATATTTTTATTTCTGTAATTTGTATTATTATCTTGTATCTTACCTTACTGCTCCATGTTCCTCGATCAGGCAATATTTTAGTTTCTGTAAGAGTCGGGGATTGAAGACACTGAATCGCCTCGAGGCGAAAATCTTGCTCTTTACCGCCATTTGAGACTCTTAAAGGTGGTTCAGCAAATAGGGTTTTTAATTCCTGAACAGGATTCACGGGTTTACATGGCAGAGGACTTGTGGACCTATCTACCTTGGATACCTTAGAAGATCCGCTCGAAGGCATTATTTCCTGTCCGAAATGCAAAGTCAATCGAATTCACCTCATCCTATTCAATGTTTCTTCGATCTGCAAACAAAAATGAATTATCGAAGAAAGTTCTAAAGAGAAGGTCTTTTTAGAGTTCTCGAATGTCCATAATACCGAATGCTTGATCTACAGGCATTTTACGAGTCTAGATCTTGACATTTGCCTTGAAACGCTGAAGATTATTTTCCCTTGACTTATCTACATTTTGCAGTTGTCTAATTAAAAGCAATGTTGACGTTAAATAAATCTGTAATAAGCAATAAGTGAAAGATGACGCAATCATTTCTGAAGAACTTTGAATATTCAGCAGTCATCGTAGTTACGTGAGATACTTCTGCACAAGGGTCTTGATGATGATGGATGACAGACAACGAGCCACTTCCGGGAATCACGTTTGTCAAACGTTGTTCCCATCGGGCAACCTTGTCCTATTTTAGATTAATCATCGGTGAAAGAAACGATGTCATCGGAGATCATCACGTGGAACAACGAACTATGATCGACGGACGTCTCGCCACAATAAAATCGTTCTGATTTAAATTTCCAATTTGCCATGTAGGAGGTAAGAAATTATTCATCCTCAATTCTGTCGTTTCCTCTTAAGTGTCCAATCTGCACTTGATAAATTATCATAATTACGGCAGAGAAACATGTAAAAATCATCCAACTTCCAAGTGTAAACAGATTGTTGTATCGACGATCATTAACGAATTCATGGGTGCAATGTCCTTTTAATGATACTATCCTCGGTATAAAACAATTTACAACTTCTACACTTCAATTGTGTAATAAGCTCAATTGTATAGTGACTGACTTGAACGAACGAAGATAAATTAATCTTATGATATTTTCAGCCAATGTTAGTATTATCTTCAACGATTATGTTGATATACAAATAAAACAATAAACGTCATGTAATTTAGCGATTCCATTATTGTGGCTAACCCATAGTTCGCACACTCTCCACCAGAAGGATTCTAGGACGATTGAGATTCCCGCAAGTGATTCGATGCATCCTCCGCGTCTTACAAAAAAAAGTTCCAGATTTCGCTACAATTTCCCGCGTTTCAGGCATGAATCTACTAGATAGCCTTACTTTTGACAAGTCCGCTAGCAGACCCCGGATGAAACGCATCATTCTTGTTCTTTTTTCGTGACGGGTGCCACTCCAATTACGAAAGGTGCTGTACAGAAGGCAAATCCAACTTCTGTGATGATAAAACAATGAGCAGCAGTACTGACTAATTTTTTAATGTTGTCGAAACAAACTTATGTGGTTTGTTCTTGTCAAAATCTTCCAAATTTTTACAATCGCGAAGCCTCTGACGAGCAAGACTGCACAGTATGCAGAACAAACGTAAGTTAAAACTCTTAGCTTTCCATATATGGACATTCTTTGATTTCTAAGACGTCAGATTTTATTTAAAATTGCACCGGGAGTTCAACTTGATGTGACGACCCCATAATTCGCGCACTCTCCACCAGAGGGATTTTGGAACGATCAAGGTTCCCGCAAGTACTCGATGAGAACCCCCCTTCGCGTCTTATAAATGAAAGTTCTTGATTTTCTTATAAAATATCCCGCGTCTGAGGCACGGGTTTGCTAAGAAGATAGCCTTACTGAGGAGTCCGCTAGCAGAACCCAGATAAAACGCATCATCCTTATCCTTTTTTTTCCCTCCCTTTATCCAGAGAAAATAGTCCCGTGCTCTTCAACACAAAGAGTGCGCCTCAATTATAAAGAAGAGTAACAAAAATAGAAACGGTATTTAACGTAAATTTAAAATAAAATTATTTATGTAAGTACCAATAGATATGACATACAGAAATCCGTTTACTTTCGTTAAGATTCTATTATATTTTACAGAAATTCTTAAAGTTATCTCTACACGTATATTTTCCGTTCTTTTTTAATAAACGCATTATGGTTACAGGTACCATTCTGTGTATACGAAAAAAGGAGATGAGACAAGAGTGAAAATGGAAAAAATGTCATTCAAAAGTTTTGAATCGAGAAACACGATAGTCTTCTATAGACATAAGGTAACCACTGAGCAAGTAGTATATGACATTTTATCGACGGTCATAATAAATCACAGAAAAGGATACTTCTCTTTGACAAACAGTTCAAACAGTGTACGTACGTGCACAATTTCACAAGATCTGAATGAGATTCCCACTGGACCGATATATCGATAACAGTCGTGAACCGCCGTAGGTGAAAAAAATTGACGAAGCGTGCCGTACGTCGGCCCGTGTCGTTACGTTCTCAAATCGCGCTTATAAACGGAGAGTGTTGAGATTTCTACTGTGCCCTACCCCACAATGGCGTTCAGTCCCCCAAGCACCAACACACCTATCGTTTCATTCAACAAATTAGTGCCACAGTGTCACTCTATATTTAGGTACACTATGTGAATGGTGAGAGAGCCCCGAGTTCACTAATAATTGATTGACCACACCGATGGCCGCGAATTGCTCCCTTCTTTCAAGAGTACATTTAAAATACACTGAACTACACTTGATCTTGACTTCATAATACACAGATCGTTAACTTGTTCGAAACCAAAGCACAATTGGGTACCGATTTCGTCAGTCAACGATTTACTTCAGATATATTAAGCTACGATCGAATATATTTATGTACATACGTTAAGTGCTAGAATATTTTATAAAGAATGGTTAAATACGAAGGTGTACTTTTCCAAGGAATGGATGTAAAGTAGATAAAAATTAATTCATCATCAAAATAGAAGAGAAATGAAAATATTATAAGGAAATAACGCAAAGAGAATCTTATAAGAGTAGGAGCGAAAAGAACTCAGAATTATGTGGAAATATTAAAATAATGAAAACCGGAAATGAGTTATGAAAGAATAATAGCCGGAAATATTTTATAAACCATCCCCTCCGGATACATACTACAATTTTAGGGACACAAAACAATAATTTGTTTGGTACAAATTAAGGAACGAAATACAGTCCAAGATAACATCAAGGCAATGTGTTTAATGCAAATTATATGATGTGTATCATTATTTCATTAAACAAATTTTCGAATATTTGTTATATTTATTATATTTTTTATATCATGACAGTAATACATAAAAATATTATATAATTCTAACTTTTATTATACTACATATTGTAATATCTAAAAAACAGCGTTTGCAAATAGTAATATACAATACTAGATATAACGGTATATTTATTTTATATGTAATCATTTCATTAAATGACAAAAGTTCAGTGATAGGTAATTTTATTCATCATCAATTATATGGCTATGTCAACTAATATATTGCTTTATGTTCGTTTATAAAAATTTATTTTGTTAGCAATGTAAAGTACATTGCAAATAAATTTTGTTTCTATAAATATACTTCTAAATTCTGCTTCTCGGTATCGCTTTATTAATATTTAATGACAAAATAATTTAATTATTTAATAACAAAAAAATACACCGTAATATTATAAAACATGCAAATACTTGGTGGAAACTGATTTATAGTAATTAGAAAACTATTTTTTAATTTTATATTTAAATTATCAAGGATATAACTTCATGTCATGTGATCAAGTTCGTTAGTACACTTCCGTTTCGCGCCAAAAACCAATAACGAAATAAACTTGTTTGATACATCATCTTGACATAGGGAAAAGATATTTGGTAATATCACGGTTTAATAATATATTTTTGTTATCTAAGAATGGTTGGAAAGGGAAAAATGTATGTAGTAAAACGTGGTAAGTTATAAATTCTATTATTATATTTTATTCGTTAAATTTATCCGTTGAATAATATTAATTTTAATTTATCTGAACTATAATTCGTTATGATATTAGACCAATTCTTATAATTATTAGATGGACGCAAAGAAAATGTTCACTTCGACAAAATAACATCCAGGATTTCCAAATTATGTTACAATTTAGATATGGATTATGTAGACCCTGTAAGTTTATCATTAAGGTTATACAGTAATAAGAAGTCTAATTTTGACACAAATAAATATTATATTAAATATTCATATTTCTTTTTGTAGTCTGCAATTACTTTCCGTGTTATCAGTGGTTTGTATTCAGGGGTTACTACTACTGAATTAGATAATCTTGCAGCTGAAACTGCAGCAACTATGACAACTAAACATCCAGATTATGCAATATTAGCTGCACGAATTGCAGTCTCGAATCTTCATAAAGAGACAAAGAAAAGCTTTAGTGGTATGTAAATATATTTAATTCAACTTCTTTTATACATTATAGTATAATAAATATATCTAATTCATATTCTGTTATTGTTTAATAATGCATTGTTTTCTTCTTCTTTTTTACTTCTTTTATATTGCATTGACTGTTTGGTCATTTGTGACAATATTATAATTACAATTTATACAATATTGCAACATATTTTTTATTTACATCATTTTATTTCATTTATAGATGTAATACAAGATTTATATCATGTAAAGGAACAATATTCAAAAAAGATGAAACCTGTTATTAATGAGAAGTATTATAATATCATACAAAATAATGCAAATAAGTTAAACTCTGCAATAATTTATGATAGAGACTTCAGCTATAACTATTTTGGTTTCAAAACGCTTGAAAGGAGTTACTTACTAAAAATACATGGGAAAGTTGTTGAAAGACCACAACATATGTTAATGAGAGTTGCAGTTGCCATCCATGGTGAAGACATAGAAAGAGTTATAGAAACTTATAATTTTTTATCAGAACGTTATTTTACACATGCATCTCCAACACTTTTTTCTGCATGTACTATACAACAACAAATGTCTAGGTATTCTTAAAAATTAAAGTAAAACATATTTATGTAATGAAATAATCTAAAATACATATTTGCAGTTGTTTTTTATTAACAATGGAAGATGATAGCATTGAAGGAATATATAATACATTAAAAAAGTGTGCACTTATTAGTAAATCGGCTGGTGGTATTGGACTTAATGTACATTGTATTCGAGCAAGAGGTACACCAATAGCTGGTACACTTGGTGTATCTAATGGTTTGATTCCTATGATCAGAGTATATAATAATACAGCGCGATATGTTGATCAAGGTGGAAATAAAAGACCAGGAGCATTTGCTATATATGTAGAACCATGGCATGCAGATATTTTTGAATTTTTAGATCTTAAAAAAAATACAGGTAAGTTACAAGACGGTAATTTTTGTTTAATATAATCTTTTAATTACTTATATTAATAATTTTATACTTTATGTTCTATATCTTTGTTAATCATGACTACAGGTAAGGAAGAAAATAGAGCAAGAGAATTATTTTATGCTTTATGGATACCTGATCTTTTTATGAAACGAGTTTTGAATAATGAAAAATGGAGTTTAATGTGTCCACACGAATCTCCTGGTCTACATGATGTTTGGGGCGATGAATTTGAAGCTTTATATATTCGGTAAGTTAAATTATATTATTCATACACGTAATAAAATATATAAATAATTGTATTGTCTTTAGATATGAGAATGAGAAAATATATAAACGTCAAATTCAAGCTAGAGAATTATGGACAGCTATTCTTGTTGCCCAAGTTGAAACAGGAACTCCTTATATGCTTTATAAAGATCATTGCAATCGTAAATCAAATCATAAAAATTTGGGAACAATCAAGTGTAGTAATTTGTGTACTGAAATTGTAGAGTATTCTAGTCCAAATGAAATTGCAGTGTGCAATTTAGCCTCAATTGCTGTAAATATGTTTGTAAATTCTGATAATAGGACATATGATTTTCAAAAGCTTCGAGAAGTGACAAAAATTGTTACGCGTAATTTAGACAAAGTTATCGACGTCAATTATTATCCGATTTCAGAGGCAAAAGTATCAAATTTTAAACATAGACCTATGGGTAAGTATTCTTGTCATGTGAAATATAAGCTATAATATATTCATATAATTTATCATATAGTTTATCATATGTATTTTAGGTATTGGAGTTCAAGGTCTTGCAGATGCATTTCTTTTAATGCGATATCCATTTGAAAGTGAAGAGGCACAGAAGCTTAATATCCAGATATTTGAAACGTTATATTACAGTGCTTTAGAAGCTAGCTGTGAGCTTGCTGAGGAGAAAGGTACATATGAAACCTATAAAGGAAGTCCAGTTAGTACCGGAGTAAGTCTAATAATGCGTAAAATAAATTTTAATTTTCAATTTTTTAATTTAATTTAATTTTTTACTTCTTAATTTATTAATTTTTAGCATACCAGTATATTAATTATTAATATACTTTCAGATTTTACAATATGACATGTGGAATGTTACTCCAACAGATTTATGGGATTGGAAAACATTAAAAGCAAAAATTGCTAAACATGGTATTCGAAATTCTTTACTAATTGCACCTATGCCAACAGCATCTACTGCACAAATTTTGGGAAATAATGAGTCTATAGAACCATATACCAGTAATATTTATACAAGAAGAGTTTTGTCAGGAGAGTTTCAAATCGTAAATCCTCATTTGTTGCGAGATTTAACTGAAAGAAATCTTTGGAATGAGGATATGAAGAATGAAATTATAGCAAATAATGGTTCTATCCAGGTTGGTCTATTTCCTACAGGTTTTACATGTGTAATCATTGAAATAGGCATAAAAAATGTATATTCTATATTAATGTGTGTTTTAATGTAGAGTATTGAGCATATACCAGATGATTTGAAAATGCTTTATAAAACAGTTTGGGAAATACCACAAAAAATAATCTTAAAAATGGCAGCAGATCGTGGTGCATTTATAGATCAATCACAATCATTAAATGTTCATATAGCTAAACCAACAACAGAAAAATTGACATCAATGCATTTTTATGGATGGAAAATGGTAAATAATCTTCTTAATTTATGATTTATGTTATAATTTTAATAAAACTTATTTCAACAAAATCTTTTTGCAGGGTTTAAAAACTGGTATGTATTACTTAAGAACAAAGCCAGCAGCGAATGCCCTTCAATTTACAGTTGACAAATCAAAGTTACAAAGTACGAACTCTGTCGCTTCTAATCAATCTGTTAATTCTGAAAATAGTAATGAGGAAGAACCTAATAATACATCGGGAAATAAATGGTCATCTAAAGCCGATGACGAAAATATAGAAACCGTATTTGCATGTTCTCGTGAAAATGGAGATGCGTGCATGGCTTGTGGATCATAAATACAAATATTTTAAATCGACTATGGTTTCGAATATTTCTATTTAATCAATATATTTAACTATATAAAATAATGTAACTGTAAAGTATGTTGTATTTTTATAAGTATTATATTTAAATATGCTTTTTTTGAATATTGTATATTTGAAAATTTTTATAATAAAATATATCTCCAATTTCGTTTATCCCTTTGTTTTATTGATAATGTGAATATTTGTTATTTACACTAAAGATTTTAAATAACCTGAAATGTAAAGATTATAATTTAAAATTTCGCGCGAATCAGGATAGTCAACTAAATCTAAATAAATGTTGATACTGTTGTGTTCTTTGTGTACTACAGTCAAGTGTTCAGGAACAGCGTTACTACGGTAGTCAAGTGAAATGTCAGAATTATAAGCGTTGGGACGACATAGTTGCGCATCAGTTAGCGAGTAAATTTCTGTCGAGTAAATTTCATTAAACATCCAGAGTGAATATATTCATTTTGGTCTCATTTGTGAGTAATTCGGAATTATACCGCTTAAATATGTAATGGTTTTGTTTTCTGATCAAAAGAAAGTAACGAAACGTTAACAAAAGAGATTTCTTCTGCAACGAATTCGGGCTCTGATGCCCAGCTGATGCATTTTAACATATTTGACAGTTCAAATTGCGTAATTATTGCCAGGATTTTCTTATGAGCCTTTTTACGCAATTTATCTAAATTGCCGTATAGGATGGCGAATTTGGATGACTTATTTCATTTAGATCAATATGTGGGTCCAGAATCTCTTACAGAACTGTGTTTCCAAGTGATCTGCAAAAATTTGGACATTATCTCAGTAAAGAATCAGTTAGGCTATCGAAATCTTTTGAAAGGGATCGTTTTTCCAAGCGAAATATGCGATAAACTTATTGAATACGTTTTACGAAATGATCCAGATGAAGGTCATGATTGTTTTTTTACAATTTTCAAGAATGTATGGATAACCAAACTTAAACACGTCAAAGTTGTAAGATCCAATATAACTGACGATTCAGTACTGATCCTTGCACGTCATAAACTTGTGAGATTAGAACTTACAGATTGTCCTAATTTAACAGATCAATCTATTGATTTCATAAATGCAAATGCAGAAAATTTGCATACTTTATTATGTCGTGAAGCTTCTGTAATCATTCCGGAGAATCTGAAAGGTAAGACTATTTTGTTATTCATTTTCAATCAAATAGCTAAGTATATTGTAATTCTAAAACAAATTGTTGTCAAAACATCTAGTAGTAATTTATATAAACATCTTTAAGATATTAATGTGTTTTATTCAATTTCTTAAATCATGATTTATTAACGATCACAGTCATACACCATGTATTTCTTCAGAAAGAAAATAAATATGTCATTTTTCTATTTCTATAATGTGATTATTTATCAAACTGATAATAAGTAACAAATAGTATTATTATCATTATTATCATTAAATGAAAGCATAATTTATTTTACCTTGTAAACAAAATATTTAAAGTTGTCACTTAATATTTTCCATGAGATTAATATATGTAATTTTGCTTTCTTCAATTATTAGCATACCGGAAACAAGGATATGTATTTAAAATACCAAACCTACGGACCTTGGCTTTATCATATGTTAAAATTTGTGCCTTGGAATATAACATACTCTTGGCTGGATTAACAAATTTAACAAATTTAGATTTGTCCAATAGTTCTGATGTGGGTGCCTTTGATTTCTTCCATTTGGTTCCTAATTTAGTATCCTTAGTTTTGTATAATGTTAAAATTGTTTCTCAAGCACAAGCTTTTGTTACCAATATTTGTCATATGAAAAATTTAAGGTAACAGTTTATTTATATTTGACTTTGTAACAAAAGAAAATATTGTATTTAAAATATTTTATTTTTGTGATATTAGGCATTTGGATATTTCTCAAATCAATCCCCGGGATGGAGTGTTTGCAAACCCTAATACAATTTTATCTGATATAGTGAATGGTTTGCCTCAGTTAACTTCTTTGGACATTAGTGGCACAAATTTAGCAGGAGTAGAAAATGTAGATCGTGGAATACAAACAGCTGAAAATTCTTTCTATTCTGACATATATAATAATAATCTTTGTAACATACCGGGTCTTGTTTCAAGAGTAGATAGACCTCTACAATTTCTAGGGCTTTATAGATCAGATGATGCACCTTGTGCACGACGCAATATTCCAGCAAAACTGGTAAATAATAAAAATATTGTATGATATTGTCTATAATTTATCTTTCATTTTGTAATTATTCTATGTTTTAAAAATCAGATTGCAGGAAATGCAAATGAAGATCAAATATTGGTTGCAGCACATGTTTATATGAATAATAAAGAAGATTTAATTTTAAAAGTAATAAGAGATTTATATCATATGTACAGATATGAAAATTGTCATAGAATGGATCAAGCTCTTTGTGCAGTATTAGAAGCAATGGAAAAATATCCTACTCAAAAAGATATACAAATATCTGGAAGGTATTTATTTAGAAATAATGTCATAACCTTTATATACTAATGAATATGCCTTAAAAATTTATATAATGAATGATATTTATACAGTGCAGCACTATTTTATATTGTAAAAATGAAAGAAAAAGGAGAATTGGAATCAAGATTAAAAAAGAGAATTGTTCGCACTCTTCTTGTTGGAATGAGTATTCACAAAAATGAAGAAACTATGATGCGCAATGGTTGTTTAACATTATACCAATTTCGATTACCGCAAGACGTAGTGCGCATCATTTTATTATTTGCGTTCTTAACATTTTTAGTAATATTATAAGATATATTTTAAAAAGTAAAAATTTTGTTAATTAGTTTATTTATATTTTATTAGATGTCACATTATGAAACTTTGGTGAAACTACTTCTGCATTTAGCTAAACATGCCCAACAAGAAAGTTATGTTCAACGTATTGGAATATTTCTTTTAAATACCTTGGCATGTCAAGTAAGAGGCAGAGAAAAGCGTTTATTAGGCAATTTGGGCTGTATAAAGACAATGCTTGAATTAATAAAATATAGAGTTGAGTCTAGAACATTTGATGATGTTATGGAAGTAGCTTGGTCAGCTATGTGGAATGTGACTGATGAAACTCCTATAAATTGTCAACGATTTTTTGAAGAAAATGGCATGCCACTATTTTATAGATGTGTAATGGTGATAATATTAGTCTTACTCAATTTATCAATAAAAAATAATTAAGTTTAGTGCTTATAAATGTTTTGTTTTTATAGCAATATTCTGGTAATGAAGAATTATTGAAAAATATGATGGGATTACTTGGTAATGTGGCTGAAGTACAAAGTCTTAGAGTGCATCTAATGCAATTACCATATATGGTTGTCTTTACACATTTAATACGTACTGTTAGAGAAAGCATTGAGGTGTTTCATAATTATTTATTCATAAGCATTCTTAATAATTATATTTTTACGATATGTAAAGTATTTCTTCTATTGTTAGGTACCATATAATGCAGTTGGTATATTATCTCACATAGCATCTGATGGTGTCGAAGCTTGGACGATAGAAAAACCTAGTCGGGATGCAGTTCTTGAACTTATGGTTAAAGCTATTGAACGGTGGGATATATCATCCGAACGTAACATCAATTATCGCTCATTTTTACCTTTATTACGATTGGTGGATATATATCATACACCACAATGTCAGCATTGGGCAGTTTGGGCTCTTGCTAATCTTACAACTGTTTATCGTAAGTGTACACTATATAATTTAATTACATTTTAACTTTCATGTAATGATAACTAAGATAAAAGGTAACAAAAAACAATTTTTTCATTCTATATATTTGTATATAAAACATGTTTTAAAATGTAAAATTTCATTACTTACATTATTAAATAGCAAAAATTCACATACTTTTATTATATACTAGCATTTTATTTTAATATATAATTATATAACAACTTCTGTTAAAACTATTATTATTTCTTTAACAGCTCATAAATATTGCATACTAGTGATGAGAGAAGGAGGCCTTGAGAAGCTGAATACTTTAATCTCAGATCCAAGACCATACGAACGTATAAAAGAGTTTGCCCATATTGTAATTGAAAATTGTAATTATTATAATAGGAATTCCTATGATATGAATGTTCATTCATCTTTGGATGAAGACTACATATACAGTTCAGATGGTTGAAAACTGATTTTTATTATTATAATTCAAACACCATAAAAAGTAGAACATTTTATATCTGTAATGAAAAGTCTTTTAAAAGAAAGAGTGCGAGTAAGATTACAATAACATGCTACAACATTTGTGCATTGATTTGCCAAATTGTAAATTTAAATTTGAGTGCTCAAACAATCTTACTCGCACTTTCATTACATAAATATTTCATTGCATATTTTATTTATTACATGTTATAAAGTATGTTTGGACTATGAGTGCAGATATATTAACATATTAATGGTATTAACAAAAGGATATTAATTACTTAATCAGAATATTTTTGATGTTTATAATCAATCTCTATAATCAGTATTCAAATTCAAATACATTTTTGGTTTATGTAAATAACCATGCTGTACTATAAATAAGAATGATTTAAAATTAGACTGAAATTATTTGTTTAAATAATAATAATGCATTGACATTTTAAATTTATATTAAGTTTTTTACATCTATGTGAATTATTTGTAGATACTTGTAACATAAATAACTTTTTCAGTTGCCATTAAATTTTATTTGATGAAAGAAATTTAAAATAAAAAGACGCATTAGATTATTATGTAAATAAAACCAAAATGAAATAACATGAATTAGGTTTACGAATTTGTACATTTCTATTATTAAGATTAAAAGTTTTTGAAACATTACTATTGTCAAAAATATGCTGTAGAACGAACATTATATGTTAATGTAACATCATAACTTAAACTATAAATTTGTAGATTTTAGTTATTGATTTACATAACTAGCAAGAAATTTGCGTGAATAATTATCTACATGATTGTTACTGTAATCATTATGTAATATTAATGTATGCGTGTAATAAATTGCAAAAGCTCTTGATTTGTTTGATGTATAACGTATATAAGACTGATTTGCCCTTTTTATTCTTCACACTTGACAATTCTATTTATTCTTATTATCCAAGAAATTACCATATATGTATTTACTTTTGACAAAAAATTAATTTTGTTTATAATTGCAAAAAGGAAACATAACAAAAATTATAACTTGTTATTTAATACTAAAAATGTGAAATAATAATTAATAATTGAAAGAACTTATTGCAATAAAAAAAATTATTTCAACTTTCTGTTTATATAGAAAAATTTAAAACGCATCTGTTGAATTAGACAAAATATATTGAATGCTGGGTAAGATAATTTAATTTTTAAAACGATCATTTTATTAGAGTATATGTGTACTTTGTACTGATAAAAAAATTAATTTTTAAAAAATATTAGAAAGACAAAATAATTTTTTTTATTAACTATTTAGTTTATCAGTTGTATTCAATAAATATATCATAAAATTATTAAAGTATGAATATGAGTCAAATTGGTACTAACTTCCGGTTCAGTTCCTTCATTCCGGACGATCGTTAGAATTTGGAAGAAGAGTGACGCCACAGCCTTGAAGGAAGACGACATTTTATGTGAATCGCGCGTCCACGGCATGTCTGAGGAATTTCGTGTTAAATTCTTAAATTTCATCGTAGAAATTTTATCCGCTGAAATCTTATAAAGGAAAATTCACATACTTTAATAAAGTGAGTATTGTTCCGTTAATATTAATACATTTTCTAGATAAATGATGGTTCAAAAATTCTCACAGAGTGTGGCCATTAATTTAGAGAATAAAGAAAGAAGTTATTGATTTTTATACTGGAAATACTACTAAGTTTTATAAGAAATTATGTAGTTTACTATTGGAATACATATAGTGTTCTGAAATTTTAGTATTTATAACATTTATTCAATATGGTAAACGTTGAAGCACTTTGTTCAAAGCCATGCACAATTGCGAACAACGGTGAAACAATGTATATCTTATTTGTGGTACTTTTATTTAGTAAAAACAGTTTCGCGATTTAGTAATGTTAACAATTACTGTACTTATATATTTCCAAAAAAAATTTATTACCATTTTAATAATTTAATGATATAGATAACGATTAAAACTTTATTTTTACACATTATTGTTGATTTTGTGCTAAAGAAAGTACATATGAACAATTTTTTACTTTCATTAGCACTTTTTTCTAATTTTTTGTTACTTTATATATCATATTGTATAAGAACAGAAAATCAGTCCAATCAATTTCTTACTGAAAGTTATAATACATATGAATGTATTTTAATATTTTAATGCAATACATAAACATTCCTGTTTTGTCTATAGACTTTTGACACCATATCTGACATCTATAATCCATCTATAAGTCGTAATTATGAGTTATAGCTACCATAAATGCAGGTTGGTAATAAATTATATACGTGTAAATTTAAATCTATTTGGATTTTATATCTTTTTATTTGTACAATTTTTCCATAAATGCATATACATCTTTTTCTATTTATATATTATTTGTGTTACATAATAAAATAAATTTTCATATACTTTAATTTCATATATTCATTTTTATACTTTTAATATTTTTATTGATAAGAATTGACATATTTTTATTGACATTATTGTCATAAAAAGAATAATCAATTTGTATATATAATTCTCAATATTAATTGTAAAGAAATGCATATTTTCAATATAGTTCATTTCCTTTTTGTAGCTCTAGTATGAGTTCTCGTGGCCGTGGATTTAGTTCACGTGGTGGCAGTTCATATAGAGGAAGAGGTGGCGGTAGTGGAAATGAATGGAATAGTGGATCAACAGGAGGAAACATGTCTAGTAGAGGTGGTTATTCCTCATCTAGAGGTGGCAGATTTAAATATTCAACTACCAGCTATGATTCTCGTTCAAAATATAATTCTGGTTAGTTAATGTTTATGTTTTTGTAACATAATTCGTATACGCATAGAAAAAATATTTTGTCAAAATGTTTGTATTTTAAATAGTATTAAAAAATATTTATACTTATAATAGGAGGGTCTGAAAGATATTCTAGTAGAGGGGGAAGAGGTGAACATTCAAATAGTTACAAAAGACCAAGGGTAAGCATGTAAATATGTAAATTATGATTTAAATAGTTATTTAATATAAAAGTTAACAAATATTTTAAAAAATTTATTTTATTTAGGATTCCTATTCAGGAAGAGATGAGCATCGATCATCGAGTGATTCAACTCGTAAAAGGATGAGAAGTGACTCATACCAGGTATGTATTTTATAAGTATAAGTGTAGTGATATTTTTATTGAAAGATATCTTAAATAAGCGTTAGTCTATTTTGTTTCAATCTCCTGCCGTGCTGTGGTCAAGAACCATTTTTTCATCTTGAAAGCCCTGCTTCACAAAAGTTTTCAAATTTTTAAATTATATAGCATGAACAAACGATGGTCCTGAAAGATTTTCTTTAATAAAATTTTAGTCTGAAATCTAAAGTATTTCGTTCCATGTAAAAAAATGTTTTCAGGACACTCGTCTAAATATTTGTATTAAAAAAAAAAAAAATTAAAGAAATAAAAAAAAAAATAAAAAATAAATAAAAATAAGAAAAAAAAATTAAAAAATGAAACAGTAGGCAAGGCATTCATAAGTCGTCATACTTTCCTTTCAAGCGACGAGCCAACGGCTACTTGAACACCCATTCTTTTTGCGTTGGGACACTACTGGTGGAACACTGCGAAAACATCACATAATTAAAAGATGAAATACACCTAGATGGTACTTAATTATTGCGTGCACACAGTTGCATTAAATATTGAGAACAACCTGAAAAATATCAGAACCAACAGATGAATAGATATGTATAGAAATATGAATTTTAAAATGCCAACATTACGTCAGTATTGTTCTCTATGTAAAACAGTATGTGCAACTGAACCAGTTTCCTGCACAGTGCAGATCAGTTATTGAAATGTTGAAAGCATCCCTGCATTGCCGCACCGCAAAAATTTTTAACAAACACTGCTCTATACAATTTTCTAAATTACATCAATTAAAACTTACCATTGAGATAATGAAATAAATTGTTAATAACGTCAAAGTAATCGTAGACCTTTCCAATGTAAAGGACATGCATCCTATATTATGTTTAATTGAAAATGACTGAGAAACATCAACCTTTTTTAAATATATGTCTGTACCTTATATCTACAGGTTGAAGCTAGAATATGTGCTGGAAAGCTTTACAAAAGCAGTGAAAGTACACAAAGTATATTTTTCACATATTTTATCCTTAAAGCAAGTATACAAGGATATAACATTATAACTACAATTTTATTAGTTTTATTTGATTTCTTGATCCATATAAGTGTACATGAGGCATTGAGCATTATATGAAAGAATGCTTTACAAATAAGAATATATAAAAACACATCTATCTTTACGCTACTAAAATTGGAAAGGTCTATCATCAATTAATCGAGAATCATACAGTTCATTTGATATCTTCAAGCAAACGAATGCTGATCAAAGCTACTATTCAGAGCTTTTACATATGAAATGAAATGACAAGAATACTATTATATTTTTTGAAAAGTAAAAATTATTTTTAATATAATAAAAAAAAGCGGTATGCAAAGTTACTTATATTTGAAATATGAAAGATAAAATATAATTTAGGTGCTTTTCAAGCTTAGGCAAGGTAAATCTATATTTTGGTGATCCAACGGGAATGGGTGTAGTGACCGTAACAGTACAAGGTTGGATGATTTTGTACTAAACGATTGGCACTATAATGAATGGTAAATGAGGGAGTGCAAAAGAATCAACTTGGAATGGAATTAGAAAAAAAATGTATGGAGAATATCTGATAGGAGGGAACAAAGGGGAGGAATGTATATAGATTAAAAGAGAGAAGGGCAGGAAAAGAGAAAGATACAATGGGAAGGAGCACAATTGAATTTGATTTGGCAGGGTGGAGGTAGCGGTAGCGGCTCTCAGAGGTATTCTTCGTCGTATGGTGGTTCATCTGCATCAGCTCCTTATGACGATAATAAGGGATCATCGTCTTCGGCCGTGTATGAGGACAAGAGACAGAGCGAACGTGCTTCATCATACCATCGTTCAGAGGACCGTCATTCAGCATCACGGAGCTATGCACCTCCACCACCCCCTCGAATTAGTGAAATGGCACCTCCAACTCAGAGATATACCTCGAGCCGAGGGCGAATATCGCATCAAAGCTCAAACTACAGAGGTCGCATTTCAACTCGCGGCAGCGGAAGAGGGGGTGGATTCCATCGCATGAGCTCTCGATCGGACGTCATCATGGCTCGCAAGCGTACTCTACACTCGCTCGACTATCGACGCAAGCTGCTAGGATCGCGATCGCGAGACTACATCCAGCGTGTGCGCATGACCACAACCAAATTGCGCAGGAGGTAATTAATTAATAAATCACTTACCAACCGCAATACCGTCCTAGTAGCCTGCTTGCTTATTTGTCAGTAAACAAACTGACTATATCTGACTATAATGACCTGAGAGTCAAGACGATGATAGATATATAAATGGTAAAAGAAAACACAAAAAATGACACAAATGATCGCACGAAACCAATATTCTACTGCCGAGAGGCAAACTTTTCGCAGGGTTCTAAATAAAAAAAAAGGGAATTGATTCTGATATGCATAAATACAATGCGTATATCATCAAAATACAATGTAATTACTTTTGATATGAGAACTACTATAATACTTGTACTTTACGAGATCATTATTTATCGTTCTTACACATAGCGGTGATTAAAACCAGTATAAGAACGTTGTTTCTTATATATATATATATATACATATATAAATATATATTTTAAAACGCGAAAATGCGGAGACATAAGAGCACAATGCAGAGCAAAAAGGCTGAATAGTTAAGACCTTTATTGCAATACGAAATGCATTCATTATGGGGGATAAAAGAAAAACAAATACTATCGCGATATTTGCTGTATATCAACTATAAGAAAACAAAATTTTGGTTGATGATATAATGAAAGACAAAGGAACCAGAACAAGACGAAGGGAAATAATGTAAGTCAAAACAAAATTGCTGTGTCGTTAGTAGCGGTACTACTAGGCTATCCGGAAGTAAAAAGGAGTCAGGATCAGGAACCAGCATGAAGGACAAGGATAGAGAGATGACCAAAGCTATTAACGCTGAATTTTCCGATGACGATGAAGAGGATGATGATAACAAAAGTAATTGGGATGATGACGATAAGGTAACTCCATAGGGCTGATAATATTTGCTCCTATTGTCTATATGCATATTGTGTGCTACTAATGGCAATACTTACTATAATATTTACCGACATTAATTCAGCCACATGAACGCGATGATGAAGAAGAAGAGGAAGAAGAAGAGAAAAAGAAAAAAGATGAAAAGAGAAAGAAAGAAAAACAAGATCGGGAAAGACAAAATACCGAAGATGAAGAAGAAAAGGAAGATGAAGTAAAAGAAGATGAAGATGATCGAAAGCATGAGGTGAGGCGAATTGAAATAAATTTCGTTACTTCAATTGTTTGTGTTACAATTATATATCATGTATATATTTTTAGGACGATGAGGACGATGGGGATGATGAAGAAAGAGATGAAAATGATAAAACAGATCATGGTAGAGCTACTGGTTCAGAAGATTTACCTAGCAGGAGAGATGGAAGAAAATTTATTAAATTAACTTGTCCACATTGCGCTCATCGTAGTGTTACTTTTAAAGAATACTCGTTGCATTTGTATTCTGGCCGTCATAGTGCTGCGATGAGACGAATCGCATCACGGCATAAAGCAACTTTAACCCGTATGCGTGTCTTGCAACGACAGGAACAACGACGTGTCGAGGCTCATGATGCTGCTCGTGGTACTTTACCTCCTCGTACCATGTTCTGCCCGATCTGTAAACTTAATTATCGTTCTCTTAAAGCAATACATCAGCTATCAGATTCCCATCGTCAAATGAAACGATTCCTCACACCATTTTGCCGCACCTGTCGTATTCAATTCCGATCACCAATGCTATTTGAAACTCATATGTGTTCTTTGGATCATATTAAGGTACAATTTCTACGTGATATTACATCGTTTATAATTTTAATATATTTTATGCCTGTGTATCTTCCAGAGCAAGAGTGCATTGCAAGAAAGAATGAATGCTAAAAAAAATGGTGAAGCGGAAGCGGATTCAAGTGGACCCGAAGAAGACGATAAGGAAGTTAATCTTGACAATTTTATGACTTTGGATTCTGTAGGTGATGTTGACGGTATGTACAATTATTAAGTATTATATTTCTTTTGATGGTAAATATCATTTTCTATAATAGTTACTACATAAACATAATTTATAATAGAAGATGATGAGTCTCCCGAGAAAAAGAAAGAAAAACCAGAAACTGAAAGCACAAATGACACAGAAAAAAAGTCTAAAAGTAAACAAATGATTAAAGTTGGAGCAGAATACATAAAACGTGTTGAAGTTCAGTTCTGTGAATTGTGTAAGATATATCTACCACGTAGTGAAAACAGTGAAAGAGCAATAGCACTTCATTGTTCAACCAGAAGTCATCTTAAACGGTATAAGTTTGAAACAATAATTTTATAATTTCGTCTTTGTTTCTTATAAGATTATTGATATAAACTTAATATATTATATAGATATGTGCGCGATAATGATGATAAAGCATTGCGAAGGCAAGCAGAAAGAATACATCTGCAATCGTCGTCATCTACCAATAATACTTCTACACCAAATGCTGTAAATAGTACAGAAAATGTTAAATCTCCAACTAATTCTGAACCACCATCTACAAATAACACATTGCCAGTAACTACATCTGATGGCACTAATAATACTACCGAATCGGGTAAAGTAATTGAGCAAAAAGGGACTATTGAATCTGAGAAGAATATAAAAGATAACAAAAACGGACAAGCGGAAGAAGAAGATGATGATGATTATCCAGGCGTTAGTGGTGATAAGTTGTGGGATGATGTCGATAAAGACTTGGGCGATATTTTAAGAGAAACAGAAGCAGGAGCTAAATCTAGCGATGATGAAGATTCTCGTTATGATCGTTTCCGTAATTCAGATAAGAAACAACAACATTCTGGCAAGGACAAAGAAAGGGACAGCGAAAAGAATGAAATAGATGAGAAAGAAAATATAAAACAAGAGCTGAAAGTAAAAATTGAAAAAATAGATATGTAAAGTCCAAGAATTATTAGTACGTTTCAACCATATCCTAATGTGATTTTATTATTTTTCTATAAAAATATGTAAAAGTTTACAAACCATAGACAACATACATACATCAGGATTTCATCAAAAGAGTTATTTTTATAAGATTGAACAATTATTTGCAATCAAGTTAACAAAGATCTATGTACAATATTTTATTTTGTGCTCTATGAGTTTGTTGTACAAATGTTGTAAAAATGCGTGATTTAAACAATTTTTATTTCATACAAAGTTATAAATATGTAACTCTGTTGTTTAGATTTTTATTTACTTGATACTGGACATGCTTGAAATGTACACATGATATAAACTTCATAATGTTCAATTCCTTTGTAATTCAAAAAGTCACTATATACGCACATTTAGTGACATTAATGTTAACAAGAACTGTAAAGGAAATTATTCATATAAGCATGTTAAGTATAGTTGTGTAAAAGTAGCGGTTATTTGTGCATTGCAAATTTGATGGAAATCTGCAGAAAACAATAAAAATATATAATTAATTTCTAATTGTTAATGTAAATGAGCATATAACAAAATTGATAAACTTGTCACTTATAGATAACTATAATAAATATTATATACATCTTAATGTTTTGTTTTCTGTGTTTGTCTTTTAATTCGATGAATTAAGAAAATTCTCCTATAGTGATTAGTATGCATTGAATATGTTTTTGTTTTATTAGTTTTGTTAGTATTTTATGGATATAACTTGTATTTTAATATTCCTTGACATTTAATGTATATATAGATGTTTATGAGTTGTGTATTTTCATAAATTTTCACAAGATGGCATAATATCTATTCAAGCTACATCATTTTTTAATGTAACAAACCCGTGGGAAAGTTATATTACATTGATACATTATTCTTATCATTGTATTATAAAACATGGGAAAGAAAAGTACAGTGTAATATTTATAATACGAAATTATAGATTTTTTATTTTGTATTGTTTTCTTGCAGTTAATATACCTTACACATCCTGTTTTGTATCCTAACCTTGATTTCTATTAAAAAGTAATTATTGTCATTAATCCAATGGCAAATATATCTTCAATGTTGTCGATAGGACAACGACATGACATTTGCTCTGAAGACATTGCCATTAATTGTACAAATGTAACTGTTTCTGATGCTAATGATTGTAATGGTTCAAAAATCTTAGAAGATTTACAATGTTTTGTATGCGATGCAAAAATTCAAGGACGTCATTATGCTTTGGCGACATGTAGAACACAGATATCGAGAACTAGAGTAATAGAGAAACTTGGAGAATTAGTTGGTGAAAGGTAGTACCTCATTATAGTATTTATGCGAATATATTATGTACCTTAATATTAATGGAAATAGACTATGTACTTTAGTAATATTGTGTCAAAATGCAATTGTAATTATCTTCTTCATACCATACAGATATATGGTAGTAATATCAGAAGATGATGTAATTTGTCGAAGTTGTGCCAATCTTATTAATACACTTGACAAACTTGATGTTGAAATGTGTAATGTACGTGATAATGTTTTGAGATTCTTGGAGCAAAAGTATTCTTTGGAAAAAGGAGAACTTCTTGGTAATAATGAGAAACAAAAGCGTTCTCAACCACCACAAATCACAAAATGTAACAGTCAAACTATTACTAATTATCAAAGTAGAAGAGATGTTATTTTATCTTCAAATATTACTGAGAAACCAAAACATAAGAAAAGTAATGTTTGGTTGCAATGTGATAAGTGCCAATATACTACATTACATAATTCATTTATAGTGCACCATATTAGAAATCACAGTAAACAAAAAATATTTTGTGATAAATGTGGTGTACAATTTTATGAAAGTCAACAAGAATCACATAACTGCAATATGAAAGAACATATAAATAATCAGATTAAAGTTCAAGACAAGCAAGCAGGTGTTTCAAATTATTTATTTCCAATATGACAAAAGTGAATTTTTTTGTGCTGATAAATTATATTTAAAATGTTTTTCAGAATCATCTTTGAAATGCATTGATGAAACTATATTGGATATTCCAATTTTGGAAAAAAATATACAACAGAATGTACCAATTATGACTATTGAAACATATTCAGAATCACAAATTTCAAACCGTAATGAAAATATCCCTATAATAAGATTATCAAATTCAGAAAATTTATCAATACAAAATATTTTAACTTCTGGTAAGAATTTAAGGTTTATGTTTAATTAGAAAATATTTTTTATAAAAACGTTTTTAAATTATAGATAATACTTCTGCAACTGGTCAACCAATATATGTACGTATTTTACAACCTGTTGAAGTTAACGAAGCACCAACACATTCAACAGTTATGGTATCACATTCTGATACAGATTTAGCTATAAAACTTAAAGACAATTCAGAAAAACAAATTTTAACATTGACAGAAGATGGTAATTTAGAAATGGCAGAAATAGCTTGCTGGAATGATATACAATCATCAGAATCACAAACCAATATAATGTTCCAATAACTCAAATTATTAAAATGAACACAGATTTAATTTACTTATTTTTATTAATGTTACAAATAACAATTATTTATATTTTTAATAACATATATGTTGTTTCAATTTAAACATAATTGACATGTATTTTCGATATGTTAATTTCTAATTTTGTTTCTTTGTTGCTGTCACTCGTTTGTAAATTGAAAACTACTTTATATTGTTAGTAGTTTCCAATCTTCAGTTTCCTGATTCCATTTAAAGTGATGTACTTTCTAGTTTGTATTTCTTATTTAGATACCAAATGGAAGCTAAACATAAATATAAACAATTATAAAGTAGAAATGACATTTCATTTTATAATACGTAACATGAATAATACATTAAATATTTTTATATTTAAAAAATTTTATCAATCGTAAAAATATTTTATATTTACCTTGAAACCATGAACAAGACTGTCAAACCCATTTTTTACATTAGATACTGTATCAGTTGCATCACCTACAACAAATGTTACTTAAAATTTATTTATACTTTCTCAATTTAATATAATAGGAATTTAATAGCTTTTTATGTAATGTATTACCTATAACATCTCCAATAATATTTCCGATATTATGAACTGAATTATCAATTCCATCGAATATGTTATTTATACCATTATCTACGTTTTTCAGTCCATTTCCAATCGAGAATCTTACTTCATCAAGAATAGCAGAATTGATATTTCCAACTGTTGTAAGTGCATTTTTAACAATTTGGTTAGTGTTACTGATAATTATAGCAATGGTTTTATGAACGTTCTTCAATACATTGTTTATTAAACATCCAGAGCTTTTTAAAATATTGTTAGTTATATTCGTCAAAACTGTCACAACGTGACTACCGACATTTTTATCTTCTTTTGACACCATTGTTATATTTTTAATATTATTGAAGAGATTGGAAAATTCATCTTCAACTTGATTAATTATATCATGAATAATTTTTTGGGTAAGATTCAAAAAGTTGTTGGTTCTTTTATTTGATGCAGACAATATGTCATTTAAAATATCGGTTACATCTTTCGTTAAAACTTGAGCCGACTTCTGCACAATTTCGTGTGCTGTGTTTTCTATAGTTTCTGTTACGTTGTACAAAAGTTCATTAGTTTCTTCTGTAGCATTTTTCAAAATATTATTTACGTTGCTCTCCACATTGCCAAGTACTGCGGTAATAGCCTTAACGATTTTCGCAATTTTCTTTCCAATAATATTTTCGTTTTGCAAAATTGTTCCATTCAATAAGACCGTAAGTTGTTGTTGCGCTTTGTTCGCAACATCGGATACTATATTGGAAATTTGTTGTTCTATTTGTTTTACGTCATATGTAATTAGTTGTGTCACATTTTGCGAAAACGTGCTAATACCGGATGTAATACTTTTAATACCATTTTTGACATTATTAACAATCGTTGATACAATATCCTTCGCATCGTTATGTACATCTGAAACAGTTTCACCTAATTGTTTTACAAGTTGAGAAAAATTCTCCTTGGTTTGTTCAACTAAGTTTTCAGCGGTTTCTTCAACTTTTCTCAAAGTATCAAGGGTTTCATTAACAATTTGACCTAGATTTTTATTCAAATCATCTACGACCTTGGTTACATCGTCTGAGACCTCTGCAGCATCTTTTTCGATATCGTTCAAGAGGCACTGTACTTCGTATTCGATCTTGGACACCGTGTCGGTTATAACCTGATTCACTTTGTCTACAATTGTAGTAACGTTCTGTCTGATTTCATCTACCTTTTCTTTTACCGTTTCTGAAACGTCGTTAATAATCTCTCTAGTCCCGTTCAACAGATTATCCAATGTATCCTTTATATCGTCCACAATGTCAGCTACGTCATTTTCTGCTAATTGGATATCTCGTGCCACATTTTGTAAAATCTCCGAGCCGGTCTTTTCAATATTTTTCAATTCGTTTAGTGCGATCTGTGTTACTACGTGCAAAATATCGGAGGCTTCTTGTTTACCTTTCTTTACTATATCATTTGAAATCTGACTCGCGTTCTTCAAACTTTCAAGACCCTTTTGAACGATTTCTTCAAATTTCTCGTGCACGTTCGATCCTACTTTATTCAACTTTTGAGAAACCAAAAGTTTATTAATCGCATTTAACTTAGTTTGAATGATATTTGTGATAAGATCGAAAATATTGGCTACTTTGTCTTTAACATTATCCAAAGCTTTTTCTAAATTATTCGCAACATTTTCAGTAACGTTTTCTGCCTTGTCTTCGATTGAGTTGATTTGGTCTTTTACATTTTTCCAAATATCCAAGGATTGATTCATCACTTTCTTCAATTCATTATCGATCATTTGCTCCACAGATTCTATGAATTTTTTTAAATCTTGGTCAATGACGTCACTTGCATTGTTATATTCCGATGAACTGTCTTGACTACTGCCATCAAATGCAGGCTGCGATAATATTTTCACATTATTATTAAAATTTTCTTAGAACACTATCTGTATATTTGGATATTGAAAGATTTATATTTAATGTAATTGATTGTTTATTGGTATTTTATACAGGGTGAAAACAATAAAATGAGTTCCTTTTTAATACGGCGTATCAGCTTACCTTTATAAGACGTTTTCAAAATTACTTTCTTACATTTACCTTTTTCACTTGTTTACGTATTGTTTGAATTTCGTGGAAACCTTGTATAATCTTCTCGTGTAGTATTTCATAGATAATTTCGAACACGTCATGTTAAGGTAAGCAGATATAATATGCTACAGAATACTCTGTATATATTGCCAATGATTTCAGAGTAATAATAAAAATATTATCAAATTATATGAAAAAAGGAAAAATATATTTTAATAAACCGTAATACCTTTAAATGTAACTAATATGAATTTAAAGTGAAAGTTACTATTCAAAATATTATTTAATTAAATTTTTCTAACATTAATAAGCATGATAAATCTATTGTATATATATATAATACATACGAAAAGACCACTCTGTCCAGTACCACATGAATCAAATGGTAAAGCCTATATTAAAAAATTATATTAAAAACAATTTAAAAATAAAAGAATTTTTGATAAAAGAATAAGTGATTAGTTGACAGTTAATAAGCATAAATTAATTAATATAAACTACATGTATTTTATACGTCAATTATTATTTATAATGAAGTGTTGTAAAAAAAGTATTATACGTACGAGAACAGTTGCAGCGCCAAGGATAACGAAAATTGGAAAAAATTTCAACATTTTTAATTCTTATAGTTACGTATTTGTAGTTAAGCACGTTTCGAACAAAGTTTCAGAAATGTACCGCGATTCATATTGGATCACGATATATATATATATAGGTATATATGCTAGTAGTATCATAATTAACATCTGTGTAAATAAAAAATAAACGTACTATGCACGATATGGAAGTATTGAAAAGTTTAGATAGCATCATAATATTTACTTATTATTATAATCAATAAATTATACAGTTTGTTATCTAATTTAAATAAGTCATTAACATCACTTTGTTTAAAAGTTAAGAAAATAAAATGAACATTAAATAATTAAATCTAAAAATTACTTAAAAGTTTTCAAACTTTACTGAATAGTATTAATCAAATTTTCATATTTTTGTTTAATACTTAATTAATATTGACATTCAAATTTACCGCGTTATCGCTTAAATATTTTTATTATCGTAGTTCATTCAATTTAGATCGATTGTTATCGGTTAACTTCAATCAATAATATATAATAGCATTTCAACAATTATACCCGTAATATTTTGTAAAATGAAATTTTTTATAATATTTAACATTTTATTATTTTGTAAAAATTATATAAATCAATTTTAAAATAAATATTGCTATAACAGTTTATTACTTCAATTGAAATGTCATTATAATATCATTCAATAATATTTAAGTTCAACGTTATGATGGTTATAAATATTAGCTAGTAACATTTGTCTACTTTAGTGGTAGCACTGTTTCTTCAAATCTTAAATATGTACGGTAACAGTATATGTTGAAACCGTTACAATTTAGTCAAATAAGTAATACATTGTGATAATGGAGTTTAATATTGACATTACGTATGTTCTTCAAAATAGAGACTTTAGTGTGTTGCAGAAGTTAGTATCACATTATTATAACTTCCGATCAAAAATTGCTGCGAAAGTTGAGGACACAATTGCATATGAAATTGGTATGTATATAAAATATTTTTCAATCTTCAGGGTCTGAATTACTTTGTATTTCAATCATGAATGTTTGTTCTTATTTACTTCTAAATGTTAACATAGTTGCAGAAACCTATCTATTTTAAACTTATCAAATAATTCAACATTAAATAACATACATATATACTTGCATAGAATTTTTCATTCTAATTAATATGTCCAATATTAATAATATTTTGCTTTTTTTTCAGAATGTATGGGGAAAAAGACACAAAGTATTAATACAATATCGAAGCTACAGAATGAAGTTGAACGTTTGAAATCTGCCATAGATGCAACAACATTACAGCAGAAAATTGTAGATAAAAAGATTGCTAATGCAAACAAACAGAATGAACAATTAAAAACAGAAGTTGATGATGCAAAATTAAAAAGGGACAATTTATCTATTGAAATTGTTGATTTAAAAGAAGGTATTTATTTTAAATATATGATTAGACATATAATGTGTTAAGTAGTCATCTCAAATGGTAATTGTATATAATAAATCTGTGAACTTCTATTATTTTTAGAATCAGAAAAAAGGAAATTACAAAAGGTATCAATATGGAGTGCTCTAAAACGAGTTTGTCATACTTTTAAAGAATATCTTGATTTTCGTATACAATTAATTGATGATAAGGAACATGAACAAATTAAAGTTTTCTTTTTTATAAATAGCACTTCTATAAAAGATGAGTATTTTGTGCGGTTACTAAATTATGATAATCAGTGGAAAGGTATGAAATATTCATTTTTAAAAATTGTAATTATATTACTTCGAATTAATATAAGGGTATATATAATTTTGTGTTTTCTAGTGGAACAAATTCAACCTGCACTTAAAGCAGAACATTTAACTGATTTTAAAGGAATCGTTGACTTTTCCAAAAACTCAGAGGTTACAGATATAACTATATTTCTTTGTAAACTCAGAGATATTTTTATTAAATATTACTTAAGTGTGGAATAAGACTAAAATCTTAACTGGTAAGGATATTGTCTTAATAATTGGCACTATTTATTATAAGATTAAAGCCTTTATTAATAAAAATTCATTTCTGAATTGCCTTATTACATATAAAAAAGACTTGAAATGCTAAACATCGCAAAACTTAACATTGGTATCATTTTATTAAAATATGTTCATTATTTGTATAAGTAATTTTATGGTATTGTTACATATGTTGTATTGTTACTTAATGTACTACCTGCCTACAATTTATATTGGAAACAGTAAACTGCTAATCACAGTGTAGATAAATTACTTAGATACTAAAATTATTTATATATGGCACATATAGTGATATATTTGAAATTATATGTTCCATGAGTGGTTAAGTTTGTTTGGATCAATTTTGCTAAATTGTAAATACATATTTATTTATCCATTTGTCAAACAACTGTTATAAATATCGTCTAATACTCAATTGTTCATTTTTTAACTCTCACAGTATGTAAAGTTCACTTATTTAAAAACATTTAATTGATAAATTATTTCGATTTTAAATTCTAGAAATTAAAGCTAGCAGTCGATATTAACAACTGTTTTCTTGTCAATACATTAAAAACTTCGTCTCGTTTTTATACGATAAGAAAGACAAATATTGGTATACAATGATGTTTTTCAAAGAAAAATTTTTAAAAATTTTATAACTTTATCGTATTAGAAAAATTTTAAAAATCTTAACTTTTCGATGATCTTGTTTTTATTTAAAAATACAATTATGTGTCGATTCGTTGAATCACATTAGAATTATTGCGATTGTTTAAATAACATCGTACGATGAAAATTTGTTACTGCAATACAGCTTTTTCATCGTCTTTGCTGAAATTCGAATCTTTCACTGTTTATTGCACTTTACATTAATTTAGATATTGATGTAGTTACGTACGAAATATTTACGTGCCTTACTTATACATGGAAAGGGCCAATTGATTATGTATGCGTAGAAGCACGTTGATAACAATTCATCCCTATTGGCACGAGTTAACGAGAGAGTCAATTGATCGCCCACTGCCAATCAACCCATATCGCGTACACAACGTACGTTAACAGATTTCACTTACACTATTGACCCGCCCGATCGTTCATTTACTCGATCATTCAAGAATTTAATTAAAGATCGAAACATCGACGATGGGAATCGATGCATTACTATGATGTACACTAGTCGTATTCACATTATGTTTGTCGGTTTCGATACGGTTAATACCTAGCGAATCTTTATTATATTTAATTTAAAAGTTCACCTTTTTCCTTAAGAGAAAACGAATGTTTAGATATTATTCTGAATATGTTAACAAAGATTCTATGTTATCTTACATAATGTCATTGTACACTAGATTTTAGTCGTATCGACCGATGTCGTTAATGAATAATCTAAGACACTCGGAACACGAAAAAACATGATACACGATACGTCGCATAAGCGTTACGGATAATACTTTGAAGCATGGATGATTAACGATGATTTCGAGGTCGATTAAAAAACATTTTGTTAATCGATCCCGAAAGCTTCGAGTACACCTACCAAATTTTTATATCATTTCCAATACGCAATTTATACAATTATTTTAAATTGTTAATAAAAGAAGTAGACGGAAACCCTAAATAATAAATGATGCGAATTGAAATTTGTAATGGGATGCGAACTTTACCGTAAACAGGTCGTATAGTGTCCAAAAAGTAACGGAATTAATGACTATTTACAGCGTAATAATGTCACCTATTATAAAGCAGAAACTTTAATAAATTGTTTCTGGACCTCGACTTATACAATGGTGATCCCGTCAATTTTTTCATCTTGTGCTCGTACAAATAATATACTTTTTTCTTTTTGCTTTTTCTTGGACACGGAGATCATTTTCGAGTCCTATCGAACACGTAGAGTTGTATATGTATACGAACACGTTGGAAATTGTTCCGTCGCGATAAAAGGAACATTACTCTCACGATATGTGAACGAAACTCGCTAAAATAAATATATATTTCTCGTTACTTAATAATTACTACAGCAAATGCAGTACACGTCTATCGATTAGAGACCGACGTCTGATCGCGAACGGTTGTCAGCTGTCGAATATGGGATTAGCCGCGCATGAGAAGTTTTGTCAGTGTTCATGACGTTAATGAATGTGTGTGTGTATATATGTATGTGTGTATGTGTTATCCTATTATTATTATACAACGCTCTTTTTTTATTTGGATGCTTCCAAGAAATTCACGCAAGCGGATTAGATTAAACGAACTAAAACGCCCGTGTCGAACTTGAAGCGAGGTTATACCAAGATTCACACTGCCCGTGCCTGCACACTCCTGGTTTATCACAATGGCCAATAAAACGAACTTTTAACATCACCGTTTCTCACGTGTGTCTATCTATATGTATGTATAGCTTCGTGCAAACGGGCGACCACGAGTCGAATAGTTCGTCCTTCCGATCGTTTCTTCATTCTTCGACTCTGTTCAAATTTTCTTGCGCCAATCGATGTTTTACGATTTTTACGTTTGTTTTCATGATTTACTCAAGGGTCGCGGCGAAAGAAACATTTCCTCCTGATGCAGCTGCCGCGGCAGCCAACAATAGAGTCGGTGGTAATGGCGGAAGCGGCGACGTTTGTTCGGTAGGGATCGATGCGGTGGTTGGACAATTATTGGCGACACCATAGACTTTCGCGTGATTGACTTCGAAAGCCACGGTCAGGTCTGCGAGCCCGGGATCGCACAACACCGGATTATCTGTAAGCAAAAAAACATCGGGAGATCGCAAAGGGGAAATTCTTTTTTCCCTTCTATGACGTGTATCGACGGCAGATAAGCAAGAAACTAGATAGAAGTCTGGCACGAGCACGCTTTCGAAGCAGTAAAAGTGTCGTATAATGATGACATCACGATAGTTCTTTAAGATCCACGGAAGAGGTTAGTGCAAACAGACTCGTTGCTATGATACAGAAAATGTTCGTTTGCATTGATAATCGTTCATATTGGTCAGCAAGGACTTTGTAAATATATGGTCGTATGTCACAAATTCGATAACAGTGACAGAGACAACGAAATTGTCACGAATCACTAACTCGCAGCTTTACGTAAAGAAACAGAAGTTGTTCAATGAAACAGTGAACGAGGAACAGAAAAGAGAATCCAAGAAATAACGAAGCTCACTGAGATAATGGGATTGGGCATGATAACGGCACTACGAAAACCCGTATATGTTTAACAATAACAACAGTTAACAATCCGTCTTTGGTATACAATAAATAATACGAGATGGCGCCACGACGGAGGTTATCGCGTGAAATGTAACTTATAACAAAATAATGTACAGCTCGAGAGCCGAACGGAGCCACGTTATTATCAAGCAGTAATTTATTTTCTGTCGCCACCGACCACTCTCATGACCCATTCCCTCTTTCTGTCTCACTTCTTCTTTCATACGCTTGGCCTCGCGACACTTAACGATGTGTTTATTAATTACGCACTGGCGCCCATTCAACGCGTCTGCGTTCCACAAAGACGTTATCCTTTTGCGAGGGTGGAAAGCGAAATCGAATGACCGTTCATATCGTACGATCGAATGACTCGTCGTCGTACGAACCAGACTAGACGATTACGCGTATTTGCGCATAATACATTATTAAAAAGAAATTCTTGTATTATAAACATTCATCATTTTCTTTTTTCTATCATATCACTCTTATGATCATATATTGCTCTGAACTCTGAAGGTCGCAAGTATTGCTTTTGTTGGCTTATTAACAGAATTATTTCGTATCTTCATTTCGAGGATTTTCTTTTACACGATCTGTACTTTACTCGGTATCGATAATTTGCTAGACGATTAAAAATTGTAATTTTGATGTTTCATGAAAAGTCTGAATAAATAGCAAACACTTTTATTTGCCAAAGTGATATCTCTAAACGATGCGTACATAATACACGTATATAAAATCAAACATACCTGTGTTTACCGGTTTCTTTCTTTCTATCGTGCAATCTAAAAGTTTGTTATCTTTTATCTGTGGGTGTTCATGCATCATTAATGTAATGAACCGAGTAAATATTAAGTACAGAAAAAAGTTCATACAGTTTTTGTGCCACAGATAAATTTAAATCGAATTTCTCGTAGCACTTCGTAAAAATAATATGGGAATGGTGATATTACTAGAAGGTTCGCTTAATCGGTGTGCATTATTCGCCAATATAATTCAGATTCAGGATCAGTATTGAAGTCGGATCTTCAATTAAAAACTGTTTTAATAATTGTTTATTCTTTCCTCGTGTTCAAATTATCACTGTAGATATTCACTATAAAGAAATTGACGAAGTTAGTTTTAAAATCGTAAAAATTCGATCTCATTTTATATTGGAAATCTGCGAAAACATTTACCTGCTGGTTGCTAGTTTCTAACAAATGTATCACGAGAACTAGCTTAATGAAATCAAGGCCATGTCAATTTGTTCAAGTTTCATCAATCGCGTAATATTTAATCACGTTGATAACGATTCGTTTAAGCTTACCTTGAAGATATATACGAAGTACATCGGGTACTCCATGGACAGTACAACGTGTATTCGCCACGAGTTCTGGCATTAGGGTTCGTATCCGATTCGCACTCACATCTGCCCAGCAGAGGACGGGAAATCCACGAAAGTCTCGCTCAGACAAGGTTACCAAACGGTTGTGCGATGCATTCAGCTCTTCGAGGGACGGAAGCCACGTCTAAACAGAAATATCATAGTTACGGACAAGTTGGAATACAAAAGGATTCTTCTTAAGATAAATATCGTTATAGTGCAAGATTAATCTATCTAAGTACAGTGAAATATGTAGTAAGAAATTAAGGATACAAATAAATTACTTCTGTAAAGTTTCTTTGGTATAGAAAGAAGGCTTAGATGAAATTTTGACTTCAGAAGAGATTTGGAACTTGTATTTTCATCTGCTTAAGATTTCAATGTATCTGGACGAATCAGACACGTGGGGCATGCTTGAATTAATTTTATGCATATCATACCTCTGATGTATCTTCAAGAGTGGTAAGCTCATTGTGAGAAAGATCGAGAACTTTGAGACCATCGAGACCTCGTAAATCACGCTGTCCAATCGTTGGTCCCAAAGCATTGTGACTAAGATTCAACCTCTGTAATTTTTTCATTCCAAGAAACAATGAACCGTCCAAGCTTCGTAGCTCATTGTGCTGAAGCCGCATATCACGAATGTTTCCGCCTGCCGTTTCTTCTCCTTCTTCTTCCACTAAATTCTGCAACAGTAACAAAAACGAACAAGGGTTTTGAGTTACTTCATCTTTACATAGAAATGAATTTAGAATAGAATGTTTTAGAGTTTGATTGAATTGACTTAAGGCTTTTTGTTTCATCAAAGATGAAGGAATTATATATGTGAAATTAAAATTATATGTAGTCTAGTTTAAATAAAAAAATTAAACAACGATTTAACATAATAGAAAATAATGAGTATCTCGGTAAGCGGAGATTCAATTGCTTCGTATCAACATTGGGTATGAATAAGGAGTGCCAATTCCCTGAAGTATTTCAACTGTATTCTCCATTCCAACTAATAGTTGCAGAATATCATAAATGGAAATCGTCATATGTCTCTCTATATAAAAATATATGGTCTTTTAGTCTTGACATAAGTACTTCATGTGTATAAGAATGAAGTAAACGGGTACCTCTGAAGGTGTTCTTCCTCTATGAAGCCGCGTGATTCTGTTGTCCGAGAGATCAAGTATTCCTAATTCGCGCAGACCACGAAGTGACGCGAATGAGAACTCGCGAAGCTCGTTGTGCGTCAAGTTTAAACACTTGAGAGACCTGAGAGGGTAAAGGGCACTGTTGCCCCCGTTTCCATCGCCATTTCCACTACCCGCACCGCCCAAAGATTTTAGGGAATTGTGTCCAAGCTCTAAATCTTCTAGCATTTCTGCCTCTATGAAATCCTCTTCCGTCAACTGAGGAGAAAATATTTTGTTTGCAATATTATCAGTGACTAATAATTTTTATTTACTTTTATTAATTACCATATCTCTCCTTCTGATATCAATTAATTCATTTCAGAAATAAAAATGATTTATTTGTTAGAAAATGCCTGTTGATATTTCTATTATTAGGAATCGATCGTGTCGTTCGTTAAAAGCGAAACTATTATAGTTTATAGAAAAAGCCGATCAAATGTCGAATTACGATGAAGACCATCGAATGCCAGCCGTCCATTGTAATAAAAATTTAATCCGTGAAACGGAAGCGCACGACATAATAATTACATTAGGATGTAGTAATTGACTTAATGCACGGAACATTGAACGAACGCCTCCACGCGTTATCATACATCGTGATCGTGCACTTGCACTTCATAACGTGTATCTGCATGTTTTACTGGCCACCATTGCATCGATATCAACATCATATTTGCGAATGATATTTAATAAATTAATTGATAAACTAACTTTAACTGTTACAGGATGTTTGCGAACAATATCTCCGATCGGATCAAGCACGTATGTTCCTTGTGTTTTCAAAGAAGGAGAAGATAAAGGTAATCCTTTATGCCTGAAAAGATTGACAGAACGTTTTATTATCGATATAATCGGTCGTTGTTTACCTCTTGCAGGTCGTTGTACGAAAGTTTGAGAAATTTCAATCGACGTGCTTTCTGCAGCGTACCATCGAGACTGCGAATCTTATTGTGTTGAAGAAACAAACTTTCCAAACGATGAAGATAACGAAATTCCACAGGCAAATGAGTAAGCTTATTGTCCGCGGCGTAGAGTATCTTCAGGTTGTGACCAGAGGACGGTAGTTCCCCGTCCAGAGACGAGAGCTCGTTGGCGTTAATTAACAGCCACTCCAACTGATTCAAATCTCTGAAACAAGATTAAGCCACGTGGATGGCGAACCTCTCCGTTTCGATGAAACCCAAGATCTTGCTCCATCGAACGAATCGAATTGAAACGAAAGTTTCTTTACCTCTTATTCTATCCTTTTTTCCCGTTCTCTTTTTTCATCGATCCAATTTGAAATTACAAAAATTGAGAGATCAGTAAGAAGATAAGAAAACAAAACGGTTCTTCGAAACATATAATCTCGATTATGTGACTAGATCGCAAGCTTAATTGTTCTCTCCTTTGCATATAATCTGCGTGCACGTTTGCTTAATCATTCGGCCGTGCCCGAAGAGCTGCTCGTTGCATCAACGATGAATAGAGCCAATTAAGTAAGAGCCACTGTTGGAATGGTAAACAGGATGTCCGATACGTTCTAGGAGCTTGGTGAATGGACGTAAATTTTCGGTAATCAAGAAAGTGTCGTACCGTAAGGTTCGATTCAGGCTTTCTAAGTTATTGCGGCCGAGGTGTAGGTGCTTCACTAGTGGTGGCAACGAGCCTGGTATCATTTCTGAAATCGCATTTCCGGCCAGTACGAGATGCTGTAGTGTCGGATTGTACTGAAAATCATAGGTAAAAAATGCATCTTGAGAAAACACAATTAAATATCTTATGTATCGTTTGATTTGTGTAAAAAAATTAATAATAATGATCGTAATAATATATAAAAATAAGAATAAAAAAAAAAAAAGATAAAAAAGGAAGGAGAAAAGAGAAATGAAAGAGCGATTTAAAGAGATCATGTTCAGCAGCGTCGACAAACGTGATAGAGTACGAGGACGCGCAACGTTTAATCGAGAGTAACGGCCACGCGATAAGTATTTAACGGATTACCATAGCAACATGGTTACACAGCGTGAATTTTTTGAACCGTGCGTGAAGTCCATGTCCCGGCGAGAGTTCGAAATGTTTGCGGTTCGCGTTTACTAAAACCGATCGATTCGAATCAACAGCTGTTTACAGCTGTCGTGAGATAAGCATTTTTCACTGATAATTCATCACACAGACGGTATTGTTACATCAGACTTATCCGTTTTTCTCTTGTTTACATATGCACAATACAATGCTAAAATATATAATTTACGTTTCAAGCGCGTCTCGTTCACTTCAAGATGGACACTTTGTTTTCCAATCATGTAACCGCCACGATATAAACATTTCTTTATGATACGAAACTCAAACCCTTGCCATTGAAGCGTAAGTAATTCAGTTCCACTAAGTGTCACATCTATGTATACATGAAATTAATGGCGCCCCTTCAAATCGCGATGATCGCGATAGTTTTATTTTGCGAAAATGCAAAATATAATTGGCTTAAAAAAATGCGTGCACAGGGAATTCGTACGTTTCTATTGTTTTTAGCTCACGAAACGTGTGATAAACAGCACGAGGCAGACGTGAAAAAAAAATTCTCATAAGTAGCACGATTCGTCTGGAGAACGGACAATTCCCTGCACGTGGCTGGTCACGTGCGCGACAAGCGCCAGGGACACCCCACCAAGCTCTCTACTAGCTGTCTTCCTCTCTTCGAGATGAATTGTTCGTTCATACGCCGGCTACGAATACATCGAGGAGTCACGCGTAACGTGCAAAACGTGTTTAGAATATATTATCCGTTCATCGTGTTGATTTTATTACAATTAAAGAAAAAAACAGAGAAAAAATGATAGATACGGAAAATAAATAATAAAAAGTGAAAAATCAACGATTGAATGCTCCTCGTATAACGTTTCGTGGGATCACGTTGTAACAGTGATAATATACGCAAAACTTTCTTTGTGTGCTCGTGTTTTGTCGCGATGAAGACGCAGAACGTTCCTTACGCGTAATTCGGTGCAAATGAGATCAGATTTACTCGGTTCGATAAATACATATCTTGACTGAAGTCAGTGTTAAAACGGTCATGAGAGGTTATATCAACTCTCGTAATCGATCGTCGTTAATAGCGCGTTCGTGTTCTTCCTGTTTATAAACCGCTTCACATGTTCGATCAATGTTACCATTGCCGGTTGTTCCGTTTTTCCATTTACTTTTTCCTACGCACACTTTACATAAAACGTTAATAAAAAGAATCGTGGATAATTTAATCGTCGCGTCTGCGCACCACGATCGATACGTCAGAAGATTGCAACACGTGCGCGTGTTCAGATTCGCGTGGGGATCGTTAGATGACACTTTTGAACAAATGATTTTGCGTGCTTGTGCATCACACATGCACATACAGGCTTTGATTCTAGGTTAGCGTCTCGATGTGTTTATTCGCGAGGAAGAAAACTAATAGGTTATGAAACAGATTCTTATGAGTACGCATGCATACCTTAAAGTCATCCGAGTCTATACGGCTTATCCGATTTCTGCTGAGATCTAGGGTCCTCAGCAAAGAGAGATGCGACAGAATATGTCTCGGTATAGACGGTACTTCGTTATCCGCGAGACTAAGATATTGCGTTCTTCCCAACCCCGCGAAAACTTCGCCGTCTACGAACCTACAAAATATGAAGTCGCTTTTAATTCTATTATTCGATCATTGGTCCATTATAATTAAGATTTTGACTATATTTCGAGATCAAATTTCGCGACTAGGAAACGATTTTTCGTGAAACGATGATTCAAAGATTTAGAAAATAAAACGTTACATTGCGATTAAATTGAGTGAAACGTTTCTCGTGATTGAATGAAAACTTGACGAATTTCTTTGCGAGTAATACAATACAGATCTTTTATTCGGAAGATAAGAATTATTTTCTTGCAGTAACACAGCCATTTTTTGAATATGTTTTACCAAAATGCTCGTTGCAAGCGATTTGTATCTTAAAATAATACAGATTGCTCGAGACGATATATAAATAGAAAAAGAAAAAGAAAATATTAAAATCTTTTTGTCCTCGAGAAATTTGGAATGTCATCTGTCGATAATACGTTATCTTCGTACCCAGGCGATCAGAAACCGAGCAACATGTGGCCCTTGTAAACACACGGCTAACAAGCGATACACAATCAATTCTCAATTATCTAGAGTGAAACGAAGTTATCGCTTATTGTCCTAGTCACGGACCAACGAAGCGGGCTTAAATTTTTCCGTGATACTCGGGTTAAGGGCAGAAAGGAGTATGTTACGTTAAACATGTACAAAATATAAAACTTCTTATCCAACGCTCTAATCATTGGTATTTCGACAAATTTTTGTTACCGACGACATACACGTAAAAACCCATCGGGTAAAATAGTTTCTCTTACCACCATAACCTTAAAAAGGTTATGTTTTCTTTACATTCTACGATCTTTGCACAATGCCTCTTTCACGAAACTTCGGAAAAATAAATTCGACTTAATATCACGATGAATCGGATTAAATAATACACGCGAATTTTTCAATATAAATTATTTACCATCATTTATTCCATTTCCATTCTCATTATTTTACAATTAAAAATTAAAAAAAAAAAAGTTAGAAAATAAAACGATTGTAATTAAAATAAAATATATTCATCGTAGATATCGCGCGGGATACAATTTTTTTTCGATGAAGAACAAAATTAAGAACGATCATCTGTCGACATTTTTTTCATTTTTTTGATTGAATTTTTTGTCACTTTTCTGTGATATGCAAATGTCTTTATCGACACGCACAGGTTCGAAGAGAATGGACCAATAGAATGTTTAATTGTAAAACGTAGGTGACACATGGTCATTATCGTTTAATTATTCACATAATGTTGGCTCACAGCGTTTCGTTATTTAATTATTCCGAGACGATAAGGGCTTCTTTTCGATAACTCGTTCGAAGAGGTCAGGCATGATTAAGATTTCATTCTCGCGCCCAGAGCTCTCCGTCCTTTTCTATCATTCGCGGCGAACGACGTCGCATTCACGTTGATTGTTCGTCCGTCAAGGACTTTCGTTTTCTGTCATCTGGCCAAGTATCACGGTATATCAGGATAATCAAGGAAGACCGGTGCTCGTCTTTTTGTCACCACTCGAAGCGATAGGATGATGATATTTATCCAGAAACGAGGAAACTTTCGCGTCTCCCGATATGTTTATCCTTAATCGGTAAATTGGTAATTCAACGATCGGCGAGATTTCATCGACATTATCGATGCGTTACGAACACGCATTACGATCTCGCGTTTTCTTTTCTTTTTTTCCTCATTAAAGCAATCATTTTTTCAAGGATTTTCAACAAAGACTTGACAAGTTACCTTCAACTTTATGATCGTCTTTACATCTTTTTCTTTTATCTTTCTTTCTCTTTCTTTTATTATTCTTTCTTCCTATCGTAATGAGATTCGATGCATTAGCTAGACACAATGTAGCTTGTCACTGCTTCAAAATTTTGCCTCCTCGTTTCGTTATCGTCGTATTATTTAATACCTTATCTGGGCAGCGGTATAAAAAAGTATATAAAAGCAAATAGTATCTTTGGGCGATAAACGAGGACAAAGATTATAGTAATTACTCCAGATACACACGTGCATTAGAATTAACGTATTACCGATCGAAGGACACTAATTGTTACTCGGTACGTGTACCTGGAAACGCATGATATCTCGCAAAACACCTCGCATATTATTCCTCAATCGATCCCGAAAGATTTCTCGCTGCCGAACGTCGTGGATCATAGCTAACAGAATAATCGGTTAACATAATTCTATCGACGAGGATCGCTTCTTTATTACATATAAACATCTCTACCCGATGCTCGCAACAGACGATGACCTTTTGCGAAGATATTCGTATCGACGACGCACACGATGCATTCGCACGTGTGCTTCTTTGCAAATTTCGAATGGCAAGCTTTTGCATACCTGCCGCCAATTTCCTCTCATCCTTGCCGCTTACATGCTCCTTCAATTTCCTCTCTTTCACGGTACCTTTTTATCGTTTAATATTCGCTTATACGTTTACGAAGGTCACGATGACATTTCGTCAGTGATTAAAGCACATTATGGTCAGACGAGCGAAATATGGTCAGACAACGCATTAAACATGGATACGTGAAGTCAACATTGCGATAACGTTTCGAGCCCTTATTAGTTCGTACGTAAAGGATATACGTAATTAATCGTGGAAACCCGTTAATAACGAGATATTTTTCATACACGTAAGCAGGTGGTACGTGAACCGAGATTTTCAACGTTACATTTATGTCGGAAGCTATGTTTCGCGTTGCAGGTGGTTCCTATCGAAGAACAGAGCGCGTGGATAAATTGGAGAGAAATGGTGGTATCGGGAAATAGCTGAGAGCTTCTAGAATCGCGATGGTTGCTCGATCAATGTATACGCGTGGTTAGAGTAAACGTGGCTGATATCACATATCCACGCGTCACTATCGTCGTCACACGATCTTCTTCATCGAACGTCAAAAGAGAGAGAGCTCGAGGAATTTCCACGGTTTTACTTCTTCCACGAAATCGATCGAGGAAGATTCCTTGAAACGCTGAGGTCGATCGTGAGCGAAAGTATTCATTCCACCACATTCATTGAACGCTTTGTTAACAAAAACCGATCGAAACCAAGTCGTGTACGATTCTGAAAGGAAAACGCTTAGATCCCTGGTGGCGAGGTAAAACGAGACAAAACACGCGACCAGGCAACTCTCGTATTGAAACGTATTCCAACGTAACCAATGGACGAACAAGAGAGTAGAGCAAACAGTTACGAGTAATTAGAAAGAACAGGCATTTAACACGCGTACGATAACGATTTCTTGGCAAAGAAAATAAAAAAAACCCAAAAAAGGAGTGGGGGGAAGAAAATGTCGCGCGAATACTTCGTAAAAGAGTTATTTGGTAGTCCCGATTCGATGCATGTAAACTTACACTCACCCTAGCCGATCGTGATTCAGCTCGAGCTTCATGATGGACATCCGTAGCTCTTTAAAATCGTGCCGCGATATATCCCTGAGATTCGAATGACAGACACGTAAGGTGATCTGTTGTTCCGCGGTGAATTTGCCCCTTAACGCCCCTGCCAGTTGTTCGAAAGAATCCATCCGCTCGCACACGACTTCGATCCGTTCCCCGTGTCCATGGTGGCCGGTGTTGGTACCGGTGTTGATACCAGTGTTAGCGGCAGCCGCTGCGGCGGCCGCAGCCTGAGCCGGGTTGATAACGGAACTGGAGAACTCCTCCTGCCGGCAGGTGCACGGGCTTATCTCGCGGCGAACAGCACAGTGGAGACTCGTGCTAGCCGCCAACCCTAGAAGCGTGTAAAGCAGCCCCGACATGGTGGTTCGAACGTTAAAACGTGGCTGTGCTGATCACCATCCAAACGGGCCAGTAGAAAGGTCCGCGCTCGTCGACAGAGGTGATCTTCCCCTGGGCCGCACGGACCATGCGCACACCCTCGATACCGACCACCCTTCACTGCTATGTTCTCGCCCACCTATTCTCAGTGCTTGTCTCTGTCACTATATCCCTAAAATCTGGCACTCGCACCGATTCTTAACGCTATCGGATATCGCCAGGTCACAGAACACAGTAGTGGGCAATTTAATAATCACTAGGTGATCGACGGTTGTTTTTGTCACTTAAGATACGAATGGTGGATAAGTTCGAGGGAGAATGAGACGGTTTCATTCGCAAGGCCTAACGCTGATTCAAATTTCGATGCAATTCGAAAGAGACCATGGGTGACTAGAACGGTGAGAGTGGAAAAGAAGAGTGAGCGGAGTGATAGCGTTGAGCTCGAAGAGATAACAGATAGGGGTTGAAAGTTTATCTTGCTAGTAGGTGTTATTAAGTGGCTCACGAACGACACTCGGTCACTCTGTTCACCGACACTAACTCTAGACTGACACTGGTCGGATACGACTGACAGCTACGTATTATCTACACTGTCGCGATCCACACCCCGACGGGGTATATATATTCACTGCTGAAACGCGGGTGAAAGCTGGCTGCTGTGTATCTATCTCCGTTTTTCTTTCTTTCTTTTTCTCGTTCGTGCCGGACACGAAGGAGGCTTATCGTCGCCAATGGGCCCTCCTCTTGGCGCCACGAACGCGGCAACGGCATTAAGCCGCGGCGCGCCGCGCGAGACTTACTTATAGTCGCAACGTCGTGCCGTGGCGCGGCGCGGCGCCGCGCCTCCGGGAGGGACTCCAACTCCTCTCAGGACTCGTACATTATGTGTGTACACCGAGTGGAGTCTCTCCTCTTTTGCCTCTTCTCTTGCTTTCCCTCCGTTTCTATATTTTTTACTTGGTGACCGCCGATCTAATTGTCTCTTGTGTTTCGCACGGACCAGCAACCGGAAGTTCCGCACGCGAAACCAACGTACGTACTCCCTTACGTTCGTCGTGCGGCTTCTATCCAGCACGAGTCTTGAGGGTACACGAGATTCTCGTAAGTCTTCTCGATTACGATAAATCTTTAACGATCCTAATAACCAGACGCCTTCTTTGACCCGTTCCATGATTCACGAGTATCGATCTCGTTCTCTTCTCGGACGATCCACTGAAAGTAATTCGCCGGTGTATACCAGTCGGCGCCTCTAGAATGTCACGATAAAGCGGAAGACAGAGAGAAAAATTGATGCGACGCGATCAAGATTTTCCTCGACGATGGCACCGGACGCGACTAGCGTGAACGTTTTCACGCGAGACAGCAAGAAGTCCCGTCAATCTCTCGATGCCGGCGCACTGCATATGCGAAGGCGGTGTTTGCACCGATAAGGAGAGCATTGCTCAACTTTTGACCTTTGCTTAGCCGCTCCGGGGTTCGCAGGCTGAAAGAAAATACCAGATAATTCGCTCATGGATCCCTGTCTTTCTTTTTCGCTTCTTCCCTCTCTCGCTCGCTTCTTGTCTTCTGCTCGTTTATCTCTGTCCTTCTCTTTCCCCCGTTCTCTGTCTTTCTCTGTTGTAATAGCTAGTAGACGACACGTACGACCGACACTCGGACCTCATAAACGACTGATACCTTGAAAGCAAAGATACATCATACTCTATCTCGATGATTATTTAACAATCGAACTATCTGGTACATCTTTAATGATGTACACGCGTTATCGTCACATTATATCATATTCCAACTTTATACTCTCCAGTTCCTTTTTCTCATTCTTTGGTCCACGACCCACCGTTCTCTCAACCATGTAGACGCCCAGACTCATTTTTAATCCCGGCTACTGCCTCGCGCGCGATAACATTAATTCCAGGTGCTTATTACATTCTGTATGCCTATGCAAATTTATACACGCCGTAACGCGTACTTATTAAAATTACATGTGAGCGAGGCGCGTTTAATTACGACGCATTAATGCGATGCGAGAGTTATGCCACTTCTCTGTCATTATCGGACATCTTCATTTCTTGTCCCTTTTTTTCGTTTCACGTATAAGCTTGTCAACACGACGAGATCGGCATCACCCTACCCTTCCTATCGCGCTTTCGAGAGCGTGGCTAAGCGCCATAGGTATCTCTGAAGAGAGGGAGGATGGATTTTAAGGTGGGTGAACTGCCAAGAACGCTCTTGGAATGTTGGTTCGATGAAACTTGTAGATTGTCACCGTTCTTTTTCCTTTCTTCCTTTTTTCCTCTTATTATCATTGTCCTCATAGCTGTGCTGAAATTTGAAATATGAAATTTATCGATCGATATTACTTGCTGCCACCAATTCCTAAACCCTCGTAATCATTTTAGATGTCACGACGAATTTTGTGGTAGATGGACTAATAGGAATGCTCCTGGAACGTTGCCATACGATGAAACATACATTTTTTATCGTCATCTTCCTTTTTGCCTTTTGCCATCGTACAGCGAATTTCCACAAATGACCCATCAGAAATTTATCTAAAATAAAAATTACCAATTTGCGATACCTTTTATCATTTTGTTTGTGGCACGATTAAATCTCGAGGTAATCAAACCGTTAAGTAACACCTCCCTAAAATTCCCTTCGTACATGTTATCGTTCTCGTCGTTACGATGAATTTCGAGGTGGTTAGGAACGCTACTGGAATGTTAATCCGTTGAAGTTTCTGATCCCTTTAGTCGTTTTTCTTCGTCCTCGCCATCGACGTTATCGTTCCTGTTGTCGAGCTACCGATCTCTGTAAGTGATGAAGACACGATCAGGAATTGACACCACTATCGAGTGTGGAGCCAGAGATTTAGGTACGTGTCGAGTTGATACACGCGTCTCGCCTTCTACACGATGTTTAACGCGGCTCACGATCCTGCAACGGTGCAATTATCTCAGGTACAATGGTCCGTTACTAATTCGTGCGATAACGTCTTATCCTCTTGCTATTTCTTCGCTTTCTTATCTTTTATCCTGTTAAATTACACGATGCTTTAATCGCGAGATCAACATAGTAATTTTTATACCGAATTAAGCCAATAACTTACCGGTAAACGATGAGAACTCCTCGCTTTGGGATTCCAGCGGCTCGTTCATCGATTCGTAATGAATATCGATTGCATGTGTTCTTTCCTAAACCGACACAGTTTAATTAGCGACCTCGACGGTCTTCGTGGATGATTAAAACGACAATGAACATCTCACGATTCGCCTGTCTCGCGTTTTCTCTGACCAGTTTCTATGAATTCCATCGATACGATGCATCATCGAGCTTTTTCACAGAGGGAGAAGAAAGGAACCTCTGGGCACATTCTGTGCTACACACGTTATCACGAATGTTCCGGTGAATATCGTGACGGTGTTATGCTCTATCTGCCGAACAGCGTTAAATGGAACTCGCCTTGACCACAAAGATAAATGAGAAAATACTTGGAGGAATTACGCGTAAAATATAATGACCAAGTAGTGAGACAGTTCGCATCTTATTGTTAATATCTCTACCGTAACTGCCTTGAAGCCGATCAACATGCGTCATCGGGCTTCAAGGATGAAACGATATTGCGATTGATAATCGTCGAGACAATAAGTTTCGATAGCTGGACACGGATGTAGTCTCCTCTGGAGAACCACTTTGTTCCGAAACACGATTGGCGGCCGATGTGCACCAGTAGAAACCGGTCATCTTACCACGTACCGGTGGCGTGCAAACGGGACGAGGACAAATCGGTGTCCCGCCTCCCCACGGATGGCAAATTTGGGATCCGTGACCGCTCTTAATATCGCGGGGGGTTGACGGGAGGGAGAGAGGGGGGGAAGGCGAGGGAGAACAAGGCACGAGCTGCGGAGGGACTAACTCGATGTGTTAGTTAACGAATGCGAGAATGCGGCCTGGCGCCAACACATACGTACACATGGTTCGACTTGTCACGCACTGCTCGCTACCGGCCTCGGTATTGGTTTATCTCTCCTACCAGCTTCCCTGGATCTCTCCCTGTTGCATAGCTTCAAGACACGCACGCGAACTCCTCGTTTTCTTGTCGTGAAAGAAGAACGACTGGAAGGAAGAAAGAGGATGAGAAAGGAGGCAGCAGCCAGTAGCAGTTTAGAGGATATAAAAGCATTAAGGTGGCGCGAGATAGTCAAAGCTAAGTTGGCATTTCGAATTCTCCGTAGGATTCGTTTGAAACCCGTATGTGGAGCATGCCAGGTCTGGTTGTACATACACGTACGCGTACGCGCGGCGTACGTGTGTATATATACACGTGTATTCTCGAGTTGACGATCCATGAATCGCTGTAACTATTAATCAAACAGGTACTCCAGTAACCGATGATAACTCCTGTCGAGTGGGCAGCGAAATCGGTATTGAAGAGCAACGACACGATTCAAACGTCGATCTTGGTGCTTGATCCGCTTCAAGTACTATCGAGTAACGAGTAATTTGTTTCATTTTGATTTCGTCTATCTTAAGAATTATTGTTTTCTTAATGATATTTCTCTTTCCTGTTTTCTTCATTCCTTGCGTACATTAGCTCCCGTTCAGTCGGTGTCCCTTTCCGATTCTCCATTGCGTACCATTTCATCCTATCATTATTATTAGCACTAAAGGAAACGAAGCCGAGCTAAGTTATGCCAAGAACGGCAAAGCTCGCATTAGTAAAGTAAGTTAAGCATGTACTAACTGGCAAGACCGGGAGGCATGTTAAATCGAGATAGCTACATCATTACGAAGCTGCAACTTTGGCTGGCGCCTCTCTATTTCTTGTTCCATAGGGCCAAGATGTAAACCTTACTTTTTCTGTCACTGCATTGATACAGCGGTCTTCATTCGTATATTTCGTGTCTTTATCCAAGAAACGCATTGGCATCGATAACAGCGGCATCGTCAACCTTTGATCTTATGCGTACGATGCTATAATTAAATAGGATATGTAGTCAGGTGACATAACCATACATTATTATTAAAAATATTATATTGGTTAATTGTAACCAAATTAGGCAATGACTGTAATGATCGACAATATTTACGATGCCCTAACCTAAATGTCCGGTATAGGCAACGTAAACGTCATAATATCATCGAACTGGAAATATCAAGCTTACCAAACTTCGAGCTGAAAATTACAATAGTTCGCTTAAATTTAACATTTTTGAAGAACGTTGAGAGCCTCTGGCTATGTGTGTTTATGATGGGATTTAAAGGAGCATCTCTCTTTCCTTCCTCCGACACGGCAACGGGTGAATCTCTTGGTTTTTCAGTTCTATCGGTCTTATTGTGCTTTTTTCTGCTTGGACGCTGGGGCGCCGGGACCCGCTACGGTATGAGACGGGACGCGCCGTCACTTCCTGCATACAAAACTGAAGCACCATTAACATTCTTCTGCGGTGCACGATCGGCCGTATTATCTTCTACCGATATAAGTACGTACACGTGCATACGTATACAAAGAAACGCGTGTACTCGCATACTCGCGTGGCTCAGTCGATGCCCTAATCTGAATAATGCGATCGGCCTGCCATGAGTCTTCTCTGCTTCTCTTTTTCATCTTCGTACGGATCACGCGATGTCCATGGCGAGTCGATGCCTCCCTTTCGATATGTATTCGCTGGCAGCATTTGTATTATTTTCATCTGTTCGAGAAAAGATATGTCGATACATGCTACTGGTACAGATCGATACAGATGTTTCAATGTTTGTCACTCTTCGATTTAGCGCTTCAAAGCGACACCTTAAAGAGTAATGCGATCGAAAGTGAATGAATTTGTATAATGCATTTCGGAGATTCTGTCGATACAGCTGTACATTGCATCGATACTATATTCGGTTCCTTATTTGTTACACCTCAAGTAGAAATTATAAGTATAGATTCGAGTATTCGTTTTTCTGCAGTTATGGTGTAATCTGTAAATTAAATCGTATAACCTTAATGTTTACAAAACGTAAACGACAGTTTATAATATTTGGAGGTTTGATTTTATCATCGACGAGATTATTATTTTTGATAGAAAAATACAAAATGTATAATAAAAATAATTTATATGTAAGGTGTTTTGAATAAATATGTAGTCTAATGTATCGGAAGTTTGTAAACAGTATGCAAACGCTTAATTAATGTAATATATAGTTTTAAAATGTCTATTAACATATTCTCCTTTGTTTATTACCTTTCATAGAAACGTTGTGTTATGATTAAAATTACTGTTAAATGAAAGTAATTATGATTCGTTAATTCAAATTAATGAGGCCAGTAATCGATTCATATTTTGTCGTTTGTTTATTTTACTAGCGTCATCTAGCAGCCAGCAGAGAAATCTCAAGCTAGGTAGGTATTGCAGGAACATGATTCTCATCAATTCCGGATCGTGTTCTATCTAGGGAATAATTGAACCAATGTATTGGCAACGCTTCTGGTGTCGCTGGTAAAGCGAATTCTGGGTAAAATAACGTGTATCGTGCCGTATCGTCGCTGTAAAATTTCATCGGTGAGTTCATTAAAAAAACGATTACACGATGAAAACGGAGTGCTAGAATTTAATTACGTAATTTCTTTGTATGTTTTATTCGATACGCATTAAGATCAACTTTTTTATTGTATTTTAGATATTGAATATTTCTCCTTGGTACTAGCTACTAATCAAGTGTCGTTTACAGACTTGTATCTACGTGCCTGCGTGAGTGTAGAAGACGATTCTATATTTCGCACCCTCATCCTAATATTATTTTTCATTTTCTTAAATTTCAGTTCTACGGTAGCAGCTAAGGCCGTTTAACGATGATTGACCTTACGGTAAAGACTTTGGATTCGCAAAATCATGTTTTCTCCTTGGAGGACGATGTAAGTATTTTTTTGTCATTTTCGGACAACGATTTCCTATCCTATATGTTTTCGATTAACATTATCGTTCATTAAAACATTCTCGATGGTACACCGTCTCATGGTTATTCATATACTGCTCATACTCGGCTTTCTTTCATGCTATATATTCCAAAAATAATTATCGCAAATATGATTTTTTAAGTACATATATCCAATAATTATTTCTTCATTTTTTAACATAATTTCTCTTTATGTTTACTTTCGTCATTATTTTTGTGATTTCTCTTAAATAAATGTATAAAATTCTAATTATCATATTAATTTTTTTCTCCATTTTAGTTTCAACTGTTAGATTTAAACATTACTCCATTATGGATATAATTATAACAAATTATGTCTCCTTTATATTATAACATTTTTGATGTAATAAACATTATAGAATTTATAGAAATAATTAAATATGGTTAAGATAATGTACAAATGCTAATTGTTGTAAAATATTGCATAGTACTTAAATTTATTTCAGTTATTTATATTCGAATATTAATTGTTGTATTGGGATAATAAAATATTGATATGCATATACATGAAATGTTGGATGTTTCTATTAACATTGAATGTTAATTATAAATTGACTAACACAAGAAAAATTATTAATATTTTTTGTGCAGCAAATTACAGTTCGTGGTTTCAAAGAATACATAGCTGAGACAGTGGCAGTACCGGCAGATTCTCAAAGACTAATCTATTGTGGCAGAATTCTTCAAGATGAAAAGAAGTTAAATGATTATGGTAAAGAAGCGTACATTACGTTATAACTACAACCATAAAGTAAAACATTTCAGCAGTTGAAATCATTTTTAAATTTAGATGTTAATGGAAAAGTTATACATTTGGTACAACGTGCACCACCCCAACCTGGTCAGCGTGGAAATGATGGAGGTCAGAGTCAAGGTCAGAATCATGGATCGCAGGTGTGGCAAAATCCACAAAGAACACGTTATCGACTCACTCGTGCTCAAATGCATGGCAATGCTATGTATTTGGGTGCAATGTCAGTACCAGCTGAAATTGTGGAAGGACATGGTACTATATATAAATGCAGTACAGATACATCTGATATAATCAATAACATTTAAAATGTCCAATTTTTAATTATTACTTTGCTTATACTTGTTACTCATACTTCTTTACAGAGTATATTAGCTAGTTTTTTTTCTTTTCATTTAACAGGACTACCAGTACCTCAGTTCAGCAATAGTCTGTCTAACGGTCGATTAATTGCTGCTCGTCATATGCTTGAGCGTGCAGACCGGCTTATGGATCGACTTGAAAGTCTCTCCTGTCCAGTAAATCTTGCTGCATCTGAAAATAATCGACCATCTTTAAGTGAATTGATGCAGGAATCAGAATTGGATACAGAACAATTGTAAGTAAAAAGAGAATAACGTTAATAATTATGGTATAAAAGAGTAAAATTAATTGATAAACTATTTAGCCTTTTTAGTAACACTGAAGGTGCAACAAATGGTAGTACTCTATTAACAGACCCTACTGCTGCTGCAATAGCAGCTGCTTTCGCTGAAGCTGACGCAAATAATGCTACATTACTTAGAGGTTTGTTTGTAAAAAATATCAGACATACAAATTTTGAATATAAATTATTATATCTAACTATTAACTATAAAAACAGGGAGTAGTGATGAAAATGCTGAATCAGGACCAGCAAATGAGACAAATGAAGAGGAACAATCAGATGAACAACAGCCGCAACAACCTCAATCTGAACAACAAGGTTCCACATCGAATAATGATGAACAATCTAATCGACGGTCATCAACACAGTAAGGATCTCCTCATACAACTTTGTAGTTATTATAAATGTATGTATATTGGAAGATTTTATTACATAATTCATAAATCTATTATTTTTAGACTTCCACGACCTCCACAATTGGCAGAGTTATTAGAGCAGTTACTTGATACTCAATCTCGTTTACGACCTCATATAGATCGTTATCGTAAACTTATGCGTAATGATCCTTCATTACCTCCGCGAGTAAGTATATAATATGTACAGAATGTGATACAAATATAATATGACTATATTTATATATAGGGAAGACGCGTTGAAGAAAATCAAAGACTTGTGGATGTTGTTAGCGAATGCTTGCACTATATGTCGCACGCTTGTCATGCTTTAAGCGATATAATTGTCGATATGAGTCAGCAGCCCCCTAGGAACTTGCGATGTAGACCAATTATTATTCAACATTCAGCTATCTTGCAGCCCGGTATACCATTCCAGGTAGAGGTGAGGATGAGTAACAATAATATCTCAATTTTTTTTCATGTGTAATAAAATTATTCTGTATTGTTTGTTTTTTTTTTACTAGGCACATATTAGTTTACACGGACGTAATGCAAATAACAATAATGGTAACGAAGAAAATGGAGAGTCTGGCGAGACACCTGTACAATTAGAGACAAATGAAGCTACTACTGATGATGCTAATCAACAGCAAGAATCTGAATCTGCTACTCAACAACAAGCTGAGCAACAACAGCAACAACAACAACAGATTCCTCCATCACTATCTCCGTTTGGTATGTGTTACAATCTTCCTACTATTAAAAATGTAAATTACTTAAGTATGAAAATTTTTTTTATACAGTTATGTAATATAATTGATTGTACGTTAATTCTGTTGGAGATCTTTACACTTTTCGTATTAGGTGTTTGTTGTTTCTCCTTTTATTTATGAGTGCTTATTATTATATGAATATTTTTCGTTTAACGTATTTTTATCAATGGTCGAAACTATAAAACGGTTCATGTATGAAAATTAAAATTATATTACAGATACAGTGTTCAACTTGCCAAACAGTGTTGAACTGTTAATGGAAGTTAGTCCTGAGGGAAGCATAGAAGCTACAACTGGAAGTGAACAACCTCCGGCCGGTGAAAATAATAACAATAGTAACAACAATAATAATAATGGTGGTAAATTTTTGCTAATAATTTCAGTATTTTAATTTTCGTCGAAACATTATTTATGTTTTTATCGCTCATATAACTATCGCTTTATTACTGTTGAAGGAAGAGCAGGTGGTTCTAGCAGTCCGTTTTCATGGGGTTCAGCTCCTCCACCCGATTTCATACGCAATCTGATGCAGGCTGTGGCTGGTCATATGGTACAAGGTGGTCCTACTAACACAAGAATTATAACTCGAAATCCTCTGACAGTAAGTCAATTAACTGTTGCATCACTTGATAGTGGAACTACAAATGCTGGGCAAAGTACACAAGCACGGTATGTTTATCATCATTTTTTATAATATAACATTTATAGTACCTTTAATTACTTTATATATTACATGTTACTATAGGAGCAATGTTGGTACTCACCCTACCACAGCAACACAAACTAGAAGCACATCGCGTCCGCATGTATTCCATCAACAAACTCATCCTTTAGGTGTTGGAATGAGTATAGGACAAGCATTTGATTTTGATCCATTCCTATCCTGTAATTCACACCATATTCGTCGCACTTCAACTACAACTTCTAGCACTGTTACATCTAGATCACAAGGGACACGAACAAATCAAACCACAACTGAATCGCAGTCTCAAACACAAACAGGTATATAATTTAAATATACAACAATTATTTTCTGTTGCTTATTATTCTATGTAATAACCGTGTTATATTACAGCTACAACTTCAAGTGCTACCAGTAATACTAGCTCTACAAATACTACAGCATCAACGACCTCACAAACGAATGCAATCTACGATCCCTTAATGTACTTACAGCAACAGCTTTTAGGAGGTAGAGTTGGTCAACTATAAATAAATATCAGTATTAAGTAGCCTTAAAATGTCGTTAAATCGTTTGAAATAACAAATTTCATTTTTACTGTTAGATTCTACGTCACCCGAAAATCTTGCTAATATGGTACAAATACGTACTGGTGGAAACATTCGCCCGGGAGTTGTTGGAAATGGGTGTGTATATTAGCCATAAAGTACTTGCGATATTTGTTTAGATAGAACATTAATTTTTATATTACATTTTATTATTAGCACCAATAATTCTGCTGGAGGTGATCTAACTCTTGCAGACTTATTAGAACGTAGAGGTATTGACATGAGTCTGTTTCAATCACCAGATTCAGAAACTGCAGAAAATTTCCTCGCGAATTTATCTGTACTATTGGTAAATAACAAATATTTGTATGAAATTATGGATTATATATAAAGTGCTTATTTTAATCTATAGAAAAATTTGTTGAATTTTAAATTATCTTTTAGGTACAGAATATGACATTAGAAGGTTTAATAAGATTACGTATTGGCCAGTCAGAGCCAATTTCTCATCTTCGAAGACCATTGCAAGAACTCTTCCAATTTTCTTTCCCAAATATTCCACCAGAAACACTTCAGGAACATGCTACAGAGCGATTATTGTCACAGTTAAGACCACATTTTCAGACTCTGTTAAATACAGAAGAAAATGTTAATGGAAGAAATGGTTCACATGTAGACATTTGTGCTACTGTTGAAGCATTGCTTGCTCGTCATATTAAAGATATATTACAGTATCTATTTAATAATGGTTTGTAGTATTGTCGATTTATATAATTTTAAATCTTAATCATAATATGCCGTAAGTTATTTTTATTCTAGATATCGATGATGCTAGATTCGGGCAGGCAATTTTTAATATTGTGAATAATATGGGAAGACAATTATGTGCAGTACTTCGGTATTCTATTCGTGGTGGTCAGGCTGGATTAGAAGTAATTGCATCACGTTTTGCGGTATGTTTTATATATTATGAATACCATGTTAAATGACATATTAATATGTGTTATATTGTAATGATCAATATTATTTTTTAAATAGACTGAAATGTTAGAGGGTATTCATCCCACACTGCGCCGATGGATGCTGAACGCATTTATTGTTCAGTTCCGCACTTATTCTTTACGAGTTACACAACCTCCAGATTCAGAAATTTTTCCACTTTTAATATACAAAGATGTACCTTCTGAAGCAACAACAATGCCTTCAGCTCCAGTACATCAACCTTCCCAAATACAATCTGAAGTGGAGGCATGTTACAAATACATACTTTCGTAGTTTTAATGTATATGTTGAATCAATGTAACAATTAAATATGGTTTCAGCCTATGGAGACAGAGACTGTGCAAGAAAGAACAACTTTTGAAACATCTGCTTTACCAGAAGATAGAGAAGAAATTCCTGAAACATTCCCAGGACATGAAGCACTACCTTCAGTAACTATTATCTATCAGTACATCTATCGACATGGACAGTATACACATGTAAAAAATACAATATATATAATATAACTGTTCATTTTAGGATTGGGTACCAATAATTGCTCGAGATGGACTAAGGCAGCGACGCCAACTACAAATGCAGGGAATAACAAACGGTGGTGTAACAACCCTTAGTGATGCTTATTTAGGTACACTGCCTACTAAACGCCGTAAGCTTATCGAACAGCAAAAGCCACGATTATTAGTTAGCCCTACTCCTAACCATTCAGCAATAGCGGCATCTATGGAACGTTTAGTGAGAGAGGGGGTAACTCGAGCGGGTGTAGAAGAGGTTGAAGGTGCTGCAATTGCTGTGGCTGTCGATCCCGGTGTTAGACGTGCATTTGGTCAAGCAATTAGGGACTGCTTAAATCCACATAGATTTGGAACACCAGATTTCCCAGATCCCTTGCGTTTTCCTAATGCAACCAAATATTTTGCTGATCAAGATAGACCACCAAAATAAAAATTACAGGGAGGGAACAGTTCGTAATGTCTTAGAGTATTTATAACGGAGAAACCAGGTAGTGTCTAAAAAAAAAAGTGAGAAATTACAATGACCAAGGCATACAAACATATATTCTTAGTATATAACCACAGATATTATTAGTACTTATAATTGTATATGTTAGTTAATACAATACAATGATTTTGATAAATCTGAAATGTTTTGAAATATCATACAGTACACTATTTGTTTAACCGAAATAGCCTGTAGTTTTGCAAAATACCATTGTCTTCTTAATATATAAATATGTTACACAATTAACATTGTACGTTTCTATATTATTAAAAATTATAGAAATTTGGCTACACTTGTTCTCTCCCATTGTACTCTAAGCATTAATTGACCCCAATATGACATTATAATTAAAATACTTCTTTCATATTACACTGCGTTTTCTGTAGAATTATTGTTATGCAAATGAAATGTATTATTCTTAATCAAATGACACCTGTGTAGGTATTATACAGATGGTAATGTGTATTATCTTACGACCTATGCATATTGTGCGCTATTTAAGTGTTGTCGATATTAAAATGATATTTTAATATCGATGATACTATTATTCGATATTATTTGTACTAACTTGTAGTCCAATATTCGATTTGAAATGAAATGGAAGTCAAGTTTGAAGTCATCTATGGTGGTATTTAGGAAAAAAAGGAGAAAAAGAAAAAAAAAAAGGAAATTAATTAGACACAATTTAATACGTCCCACTGTAATCATGAATTATCTAAGGCTATAGTTTGTACCGCATAAGCTTTGTTGAATAATACGTTATAAACTTTATCCAAGTAATATGTCTCTTTGTAATTTATGTAGATAATTAATTTTGATTGTGCTACATCACTAAATAATTCGGAAACGGACTTTTTATACGCATCAGGAAACTGTATTTTATGTACAATTTTGGCCACTTGTACGAAAAATGATTTTAATTATCTTATAACTGAACTTTATCACTCTTAAATATGGAAAAGAATCAATTAGCCTAAAGCAAGGGAAGGATAATTCCAAATTATACGTTCGTATTAATGTTAAGGAATATCGTGTATGAATATTTGATAGATCGTATATAATGTTAATAAAGTAATGGAAGTAATTTTATGTGAATATGACTTTGAATCTGAAAGTTTATATCTATTAATCAGGATAGATATACAAGTAACATAAATGATTTCTTAATGATTTTATTCATAAGTGACATAACACATGATAAGTTTCTTTTTCTATTTATTATTATGTTATAAAATTATATAAAAAATCATTTCCATGAAATTTTCTACAAAAAGTACATAATTACATAGCTATAAATTTATAAAAATTGATTCGATGAAATTTCTTGATAAAGATTTTTTATTAATTTGATATTCTTATCTTTCATGCTATTCCCATGAATTCAGTTTATATCGTTTCCGCCCTTCCGCAATCACGATTGATATCGATGTAATTCTTTTTAGTCGTTTTGAAATTCTCATACTATGTACTTGTTTTTTAGGTTACTTTTATATTCTCATTTTGTTGAATATTTACGACACGATTAGTTAAATGACTTCGCGATTTACGAGTTAGTCATAAGGATGGGCATTTTATTCGACGAAACGTCGACAACATACTTTCGTGTTTAGCCGTGAAGAGGGAGCATCGTAACATGTTGATTCGTTGAAACACACTTGAGAGCGCCACTTGTCGACCGATAAACGGCCGCAACTGGTTTCATAGAAACGGACTTTGTAATATACGTTGTAACGTTATCTTGGTAAGATCGCCAGAGTTACAACTACTTCTTACTATCTAATAACACAATAATTTTAATCGTCTATATTTTTTCATATCTACCGTTTGTAGAACTCATCACGATTTCACGAATGGACGCATCATCAGTGTGTACATAGTACATATTCGACAATACCATCGCGTTATCGTCAGTGAACAAAATGTTCGCACGGAATTTATGCAAAATACCGCAAAAACGTTTTTCGAACGAAGCGACCATAACCTCTATCGCGTGCGTACAATAAGGCAATATCGGTCATTAACCGTCAGAATTTTGAAACACGAAGGTTAGTCGAATTAAATCCGACTACCTTTTGGTTTAGTATTTGAAATGTCGATATTATGTTCAACTTTACGAGAGATTTAAGACATCCATTGTCGAAACAACGCGTTAGATTGTTTGCAGATGTTAATTGTTTATTCGCGATAACAGACCGATGTAAACGTTCGATGTGTTAAGACACGATAAAACACTTATCGTGTACAGGTAAACGTAGATAACGAAATCGATGCTTCCTCGTCGTATTACGAAATCGAATTGAAATCTGAAATCTTTTGAAAGATCTTTTCCTCGAAAGACGTTACAGAAACACGGCTACCGGGTGTGTTACTGTTCATTCGAAATGATACTTTCTCGTTTGATAATCGAAAAAATAAAAGACACGACTAGATGATCTGATGGTAAAGGTAGATGGAGCTTCGCACCGACCCTTCTCATATTTTGCGAAAAAAAAGGGAGAGAAAAAGGAAAGAAAGAGTGAAAGAAGGAAAAGAAAAACGAATTTCCCTTCCCCTACCAGTTGCCACTCGCTAATAGGCGCTCGTTAATATTGCGAGTGCCACTCTTGAATATCGAGGAGAGGTTTCTACTGCCTTCCCTCCCTTTTTTCAGCATTTCACCATCCTCCCCCCGCACCATCCCTTCCCTCGTGCTCGGTCTCATTTCTGCGAGCGTGGCGGGCCGATTCTCTTTTTCGCTCGCCACAACGCGAGCGTTCGTCGGATTAAGGCATAATGAAATTACGAGGGTCACGTCATTTTATAAAACGATCGTTAAGCGTCGAGAGTGTTCGCTTGCCGTAGCTCTCGTCGAAATGACACCGCATTGAAAACGATCGATCGAAATCTCTGGCGAAAGAGCTCGGAGCGATGGAACGGCTCTGGCTCCGTGTAGCGAGGTGTAGAGGGGCGGAGGAAAGAAGGAGAAGTGGGGGGACAGGGGTCTCAACTTCCGTAGAGGAAAGACGGAGTGGGGGAAAAAGAGCGGGATAAGTGGAATTTTATATACAACAGGAGCACGCTAATAAATCGGCCCCTGCTATAAAATCGATTATTAATTTAATCCGGACATTTTGACGAAATATATTGGAATTCCCTAAAATATCAGGGCCGAAACGATGTACATTGACATAGGTTGTTATGGACGCTTCGTCATAAGCGCACACGGAATTTTATGAACACGCGCGCCTGTTAACATTCCATGTGCCAAAATTCATTATAATTTATTGATACGTCAAATATATCCGCCACTCTCGCCCGTTCGTTGCTCTTCATAATAACGAGGGAGCTACCGCGTGCATGTACGCCCGCGTATATATGTATGGGACACATCGGTGGGTATGTTCAGTTTTCCTTTCGTTATTTTCAATCGTTCATATGCTGTTTCGCGCATCGTGGCCGACCGTGTCGATTTTTCGTGATTCCGTCAATGAGCGTGAGAGATCGCCAAAATAGGCCGTCCGCATGTCGCCACATTCGTAAATACACTCGTAACGATATAATTGGCCGCGTCGGCGGCCATGTATTCGTTATATATCCGGCGCCGAAGCGTCGCAATTGTTCTCGAAGCTTTATTAATATTATTTTCCAACATTATCGAATATAAGGTGTATTCACCTAAAATAGGCCAAGCGCATACTTACGTATCACCTTTAGTCGTCACCTCTTTATCGTACGTGAAAATGAAAATACCCAAAAATTGAAGTTACACATCGCGAACAATTTTCTGATATACCGACGAATCGTCTGATATCCGTTTTGTTTATATTCGTATGTTGTTCCTTGTTATCTTAGAATTTCGGTGAATTTCGATGAAAATAAATTTTGTATTTATCTTTAATTTTCGACAGCAAATATCATCCAAAGTTCATATTTTTATCTATCCTCGATTACGTTGTAACGTCAATTATAATTTGCAAGAGAGGAAAGATATGCGGTTACATATGTAACAGGAAACATGGGTGACCTTGAGAGCTTTGTTGAAAAATATTTTTTGCAATTTATTCGTCATTTGATAAAAGTCGAATTGTACATGAAATATTTGTTACGCCACTGCAACTGAAGGAGATAGGTAGTCCGTTCTAGATAAGACACCCTGTATAAACCGTCTGACCAGAAAGCTCGTCGGAACGCAGGCTCATTCGTTGGAGAATTAACCGATAGGTCTGCCACATTGTAATCTCTTAATACGCAGCATCGATGTTCGCGCAGCTTCACAAAATAGAGTACGAGTAATTTAATTTGTAACTAGAAATAACTCCAATAAATTTTCTCACTCGCTTATCCTTTCTTCTCTTTGTGCGATTGCGGTTAGAGAAAAATGATAAGCGTATTACGCAGCGTCTCTTTGTAATGCAATAAGATCGATAATTCCGATATTACTCTCGACTTGAATAAATCTGCGGCGGTATCCTAGAACAGAAAACAGTGGGGAAGTATATATATATGTGTGTGTATATATATATATATAAATATATATATACACACATGTACGTATATATATATTTAAGGCATACAATATATACGCGTGTATCCGTGTACGTATGTGTAGGTAGAGCAGTGACGTCCAGTAATTCGACGAAACTTTTTCACGGAGGAATAACACCTTCGTTGCACTTGTCAACGAAACGGTTGGGCTACCAGGAACGATATCGTCGAATGGACCTCCGGCTGCTCGTTGTCGCGGCTAGAAACAAGAGGATTTTTCGGAGTCTGGGAGCGAAAGGCGTTGGTATTAATTGACTGGACCAGTCCGTGTGGAGTGGGCCGACTACGCGAACGGCACACTACTACCACTGTCGCAACTATCTCCACTACACCACTATCGCCACCACCACCACTACCACCGCTGCCATCACCACCCTACTACCACCACTACACCGCTATCACCGAGCAACGCTATTCTCTGCGTTCGAACGTTTTTCGTGGTCCGTGCCACGGAAATGTTCGTTCATTTGGTGACCGTCCTACCTCCTCTTTCTTCTTTCTTCCGCGACCCCTGGGGTCGTACCCTCTTCCTTCTTCGACCCCTACCCATAGTGCGGAACTCGAGGAGACCAGCGGGAGTATAGGCCGCGCTCGCTTGTAGCCGTGTCTATACACACGTATACCGGCGCGTAGAAAGGCATAATAAAGGTCGGGGAAACAGTCCGCGCGGACTTAACGGGCGGCTGTCAGCGCGTTCCATATGGAAGCCAGTTGGTCGGAGTTTAGTTACTGCGCTCTCCCGGCAGGATTGGCCTTTTTCGTTCTCGATTACGCCTCTTTATTCGCCCACTGGGCGTCGCCTCGGATTTTTCTGCGCGCAGGTTGGCTGCCGCGGCGGGTTCGAGTCTCTTATAGGCCGACGCGCTGCTTTTTCACCGGGCAAACGTAGAGAGAGTCCGCGCGGACAAACCGAGGCCGAGGTTAAGACGCCTTGGCAATCAAGTAGAACCTCGGGCAAGCAGGGGCGGTTATGGGTGGTTATCGGAAGGGGGTGCACCAGCCGCACCGGTATAGAGAAAGAGAGGATGTACGAAGGCGGCCATATTTAGAGAAGGAAATCAGTGAAGAGCATTTCGCGCCGTGTACCGTGTTCGACCGTCTGTCCTTGTTTCGCATAAGGTACGCTCATCCCTCTTTCCTT